GCCCCGCTGCCTGGCCGAGGGGCGACGCGGACCCTCTGGTCCGTAGCCCTCCCCCCTCCCGGCGACCATAGTGTCCCTCCGTCGCCCCTTTCCGCGTGCTGTTACCTTAGAGCGGTAGGGCTGGTGGCCCGGGGTGGTGGGTCAGGCCTCGCCCCACCCTGCCCACCTCGCCAGGTGGTTTCGCTAGCCCACCTGCTGCCCCGTGTCCGCATGGAGAAAATGGCTGTCCTTCATGCACCGTCTGCGTCGGGGTGGGGGGTTGGCGCTTTGGTGGGCCCTTGTGGGTTTTTTGGGCTGTAAAGCACGCAGGCTTTCCCTGGGAGTTTCTGGGTGCGTCGGACAGGCTGCTTTCATGGGTTCAGCACACACTGCCACATCTGTTAAAAACTCAAAACACATGCTGGGTGAAGGTTTGAGAAGACTCTTTGTGCTGGGTGGAGGGGAAAGGTGGAGGTGCTCACATGAACTCTCCTTCGCCTTTTGAAAAAACGCGGTTTTGGTTCAAAGTTTGGGCTCAAGGTTATCCTGGTTGTCATGTCTTTTGATCTTGCTTGCGTTTCCAAGACTTGAGGTAAATTCACTATTTCCGTTGAAGTCACTGCATCTCTTTTTCAAATGTTCCTTTTCATACAGTGCCAGTTCTTCACATACAGATGCTGTTCCAGTGGCTGGGAGTGGTACTAAGAGTCTAAAGCAAAGGAAAATCTATCACCGCACCTCTGGGCATCTCTAAAGTAAGGTGGCATCTGGGATTAGTTCTGCAGTACAAGCTGGCATGTGAAATGCAGATCAGTTATTACCATAAGACCATTGCGTAATTCTGCAACATAATTTCTGCGTCCCTCAGTTAGAGATTACACAAGTCTCCCCGCTCCCTATGAGCATTGTCTACCTTGACCGCTCTATAGTCAGCGTTCTCTTCTGCTGTTGCATTAACACGATATCACTGCTAATGAGGTATTCTGCTAGAAGATGTCTTTTGCAGAATGCTTGAGCTGTTACATGCAGACCGACTCCTATTTTTTTACTTTTCTCCCTGCCTTTCATACTGCTAATGTCTTTCTGCACGAGCAAGACAATGCCCGGAATGGTTTATATATTTCTGTATGGGCATTTAAGTTCATGTTTGGAGGAATAAATAGCATGTTTGGCTCTGCAAAGAAGAAAGAGGGAGGATGTTAATTCTTTTGGTGCACTCCTGTTATTATTTTATCCCATTTTTGCTTTTCCCATAGGAAACTGCTTGATGACAATGGCTAGCAGCTGGCCTATTAGTGCTTCATAAATAAGATGAATGAACAAGGGATATTTATTAAAAGAAGAAATAAGGAAATGGCCAAACATGAGGTCTCAAAATGATGCACTCAGCTAGTATATGCAACCTTGCTTCCCCTGGCATTTTGTTTTCTGTTCATGTGTTGTGTCTTATTCACAGTTGGGCCTTATACCACATGCATATACATATATACACAAATATTTCTTTTCCTTTGTGAATCATTTTATAGTCTTCCAGACAAAGTTATGAATCTGTTCCTGAAATTGCATCACAGCTGCTCCCAGGTTTAGTCATGAATTGGATTATAGCAAAGGTAAAGTATAGTGCAAAGGCATAGTAGAATGTAATACAGCTGTCTGACAATAGGCCGAAGTGCCACTTTCTTTTTTTATGGTGTGTCTGTGTGGAAGCAACCACATTGCCTACATTTTATGCTAATTTAGAGGGGATGAAGGGGAACCATATTGCTGGTTTCTCGCATTTCCGTTTCAGAGTATGAAGGGGTTCCCTGTCACATCTGCCTTCGCACTTTATTGACATGGAAGGTAGCTACCTTTTTCATCTGAACTATTAATATGCATAAGAAAATCTTGATGTTAGCCTTCTCCTTATTACTACCTAGGCCTGTGCTGTTGATCTCCTATTCATACTGTTCTGTGCATGGCCATATATTATTTTTTTTAAATAATAATTCCTCAGGTATTTAAGAAGAAAACAAAGAGGAGCTTCCAAATCTAGACATCCTGCATGACTGGCAATCCACGTAAGAGACTTGCCTGGACTGACTGTGAGTATTTCAGGACTGTCTTTACACAGATTCCATGTTTTTTGGATAATTTACATTTTGATTTGTTGAACTGTGGTCTACGAGCTGTGTACAAATCATTCTGAAGCAGTGCCAGTCTCGCCTCTGCAGTATATGGTGCTGTGCTGGCTTTTCTGAGGAGGAAACTGGGGATGACTGTTCAAGTGACTATACGCACTGCCTGAGTATATTTGGTGCCTGAACAGCTGCCTACCTTCATCTGTGTCTCTCTAGAATTAACATCTGCTGCTTCTGTATTGAGAGGAGAAGGAGGCTGGTAACATGCCTGCCTCTACAGGACTGCCACAACAGCACCCTGCTTGTAGGACTGATGGCTATGAAACAGCTGGTGCCAGTCTGCCCCATGTAGAAGGCTACTGTCACACTGAAAGATGATTTTTGAAGGCACGGTCTCATTTCCTTTATGTATTATTAACTGAGGAACATTTTAACTCATGAACTTTTGTAACCAGGCCAGGCATCATAATGTTTTATCTTCGCAGAGAAGTCTGATCGTATTCCCTACCGGACTGAAGGTTATTTTGTAGTCATTAAAGATAGAAGTGCCCGTCTTTGAATTTTGAACCAGTTAGATCCATGCAGTACATTTGCAGCTGAAACAGCGTACAGTATTTGGGGCAATGGGGAACTGGGATACTCCCGATAATGTTGATGCTGCAAAAAGTGGGCAGAAAAATCAAACATGTCCACAGAAAATCAGCTTAGATACAGCAAGGGTAATTAATCAGCTAGACCCAGCTTGACTCGTGCAGAGAATTTTGGGAATGAGCAAGAAATACCAAAGTCTTCCTGGAACCCTATGTGCTGAGGAACAGTGGCATTACTGTTGCCATCACTTCCATTTCTTCCTCAACCCCTCCAGGCCCTGGACTGCCTCTGCTACCAGTTTCAGGTGGAGCCAGCCCAGCTAACTATAAAATCAGTGTTGAGGTATGTTCATTGTTGTGTGCAACTTAAATTGAAACTGGACCTTCATGTACAAGATCTCCTGTGCCTGCGCGTGGTCCCTCACAGAGCCTGGAACAGCTACTGCCAGTACCATCATTTATGATTGTGGTGTGGACATGAGGTGAGGGAGTTTCACCTGCCTTGCAAAAAAGTCAGGATCTCCAGCCAGCTCTGCCATTGCTAATGGTGCAAATTTAATATACAACTGTTAGAAATCCTTGATTTATTGTATAATGTTTCTAATGTGTATGTAGAAGATTGTCTGACAAACCTCGGGTGCCTATTATCGGAAATATCCCCAATATTTAGGACAGATATCTTAGGCACTGCGGGAACTGCCTTTTGGCAAATTGGACTTAGCCTTGTCAGTACTTAGATTTCAGCATAAAAAGATGCGTTCTTGGTAATACATTGAAGGTGTATGTATGTGGATGAAAAAAAAGAGATATAATAGCAAGTAGATGTATGGCAGCTTTCCAGTTTGAAAACATTGTTCAGTGTAATAGAAGAAAATGAGAGGTAGGATGTATGTATACAGAGTAGCATGAAGAGAAGCAGAGAAAGGAGAGAATTCAAGTGAATCTTTTTGTTAAAGTGTAAATAATATTTTTCCCTCCTTTCTCTTTAAAACAGATGCCTTTGATTCAAAGCACGGGCAAGATCATGAGAGCTCAAATTCCAAGGAGGACCACAAGAAGAAATCAAAAGAAAAGGAAAGGAGACTGGCAGTCTGTCAATGGGGCTTGGATGTACAGCCCCTTATTTCATCTTCTAAATGGCTTCAACTTCATGGGCTCAAGAGAAATAAATTGTCCCTCTCCCAGATTTTGTCACAAATTGGATTCCAGCACAGGAAAGGTATAAGACAAACAAAATAACAGAATTAAAAAAAAGAGAAGACTTAGAATAGGCTATAGTGTGGTGCTCATTTTGCACCACAGTCTACACTGAGGAGATTTTCAGATCATCTGTTATTTTATACTAAGGACACAAAGGGTAGCCATGCCCCCACTTCCTGACATTGCCAGAAGTGAAAGGACATGAAAGGACTGAGGAACTCCATTTCTTCTTGATATGAGAAAGATGCTTTCCTTATTGAACTGTACTGTTGCTTCTTTACCCTAGCCCCCATTCCGGTGCTCTACAGTTTAGCTACAACTGGAAAATAACTTGTGCTGAGGCCGTTAATTGTTGCCTGAAAATAACACACCAGCAGATCTCTGTCCGTTCTTAGGTGGCAAATGTGGAGTACACTATGCTGTAATCTGTGGTCTACTGGTTGATTATCTGGGCTAGCCAAAGCATTTCTGAATAGTATATCATTATCAGGGATCAAATTTTTATGCAAGCAGTTAAATTTGATTTGAATTCAGGCTGATTTTCTTGCAAAGTCAGGCTGTACAAAAATCTTTTTTGCAGTTATCTGTCTGGCAGCTGGAGAGGAAGAGTTTCCTAATAATTATTAATCACTTCCATAATAGTACTTTGCAGATCATGGTAAGATAGTCTCTTTTTTGGAGAGCTTACAGCCCAAGAAGTAAGAGTTGTAATGTATTGCAGTTGTTCCAGCTTGTATAATTTAAGATTTCAGCTGGCTTGTGCCTGTAAGGCATTCAAAGACCAACAGTACAGATCCTGAAATCCTGTACGGTGTAGAGGAAGGAGAAGTTGTAAAGCAGGGTTCGTGTTGTTACAGTGTAAATTTAAGAACAAAAAGTACTGGCTTAACAGGGCAGCACGCTACATAGAATAGCTGCTTTGTGACGTTAAGTATTCCCACCCCTAATATTTTCCTATCAGTGGAGCTACTGCAGAAGTTTTCCCTAGTTGCACCTACTTCTGCACCCATTTAGTTGTGTAAGAGAACAGCATTATCTGTTCCAGCTTTTGTATTTTGTTTGATGGACAAATATTTACAAGTCCTGTGGAGAGGTAAATGCATAATACGTAAGTTTAATTGCCTAAACCTTTCATTTATCTTTTCACCTATAAACAACTAAATGTGCTTTTTCCCCCCACTTCTGACTAGACTGTCAGAGAGGAGCAAGAGCAGGGCTGCTCCATAAGGGAGGGCTGAGTCAGGAACCCAAGGGGACCACAGCGCAGGCACTGCCCCGAGTGACCAGTCTGAACTGGTCTGCACTGAACTGCACTGTCTGAACGCAACGGGCACAGTAGGGTGCTGGTAGCAGTCCCAGAGAAGGTGAGGTGATGAACTGGGTCCAGGGTCTCCCCCGGGGAGGGGGAGGTCAGGAGCAGCAGGAGATGGAACTGGAGACAGGACTGGAGACAAAGCTACAGTGTAGGTCCAAGAGGCCCATCCAGGAGACTGAACGGGAGACAGGTCCATCCGAGAGAGAGGGCCAGGGGAAGGACTTGAGGCAGGTATACCTAAAACACAGCTCAAGCAAAGACTCGGTGCCCAGGCCTGAATACCCTATGGGTAGAGGCCCCAGGTGAGTCTGGTCAGGACAATCAAGGCCTGTTGGTGCCCTAGAGCCCTGTTTTAAACAAAACCAGAAAAAAATGTAAAACAAGACTATAATTAAAATTTCTTTCAAGCTTCATAATATCAGGAGTACAGTACAGATGCATCTGCCTCACAGATGGATGGTATGTACGTCAAGCTGGAAAGTATCAGATACAGATGTATCTTGCTGTGCTCTTTACTAAGGGAAACGCTCCTCCTCATTCAAAGCCCGATATATCCAACGAATCCTCCTGATTCCCTTGAAAAGGGTTTACTGCATTTTGGTTTTAGATTTCTGTGAAAAGATACTTTGATTTATCAAAAGCAGAGTACGTGATAACTGGAACAAGATTTATTGCCTTTTGTGTTGCATATGTTTTAGAAAAGTACATTGTGAAAGTAATCCTTATGATTAGCGGCTTGATCTTTTGTAACCTTACCCGTAGATTATGTGACCACCTTGGGGAAACTTGTGGCTTCTCGGTATGCAGATGGTCTGTTTCCTCAATATATGAGAGCGCAAGATGGCAGCGTATATAATGTAAGTGTGATTGACTTGTGATAACTTTCCCATATACTTAAAAGTTATTATCACTGTAGCAGAATGATGCGTCTATAATGTCTCCCCAAGACAGGAAATACTTGTATCTTTTGTGTGAGAACTTCATCTTTTGGCATTTTTTTCTGTTTTGCCAGACTGTTAATGATAATGATCAGGGCTATATAAGCTAGATATCTTTTTTCTTTTTCTTCTTTTTTCTGGTGAAGTCTTACACTCTTGCCTTGGTGCAGCATTGCAGTAAGACTTTCCAGAGAAGGCTGCAGTTTCTAGGCAACATTTACCCTTTCTTGAAAGAGTAACACTTAAAAAGAAGATGCTCAGCTCAGTTAAGAAAACTGTAGTCGATAAAACAAATGAAGATGCTGAAATGAGGAGACATAATGTGCCATCATTCCTGATGCAAAGCTCCCCATTGCTAAGTGCCAGTGGGTCACAAAAGGCTCAGCATAGTCTACAGAGACAGCTAGTTGGATCTCTGCCCAGACTCATGTTCTAAGGAATGTCTTAGTAACAGCTGCTGGCTGTCCCATTATTAAGAGGATGGATTCTGACTGAAGAGATACACACGTGAACTAGTAGGGGAGAGAGTTAATCCGTAAAGGATTTTACAAAAAACAATTGCTTGTCATTTTTCTTTTAACTAGCATCCCTTATGAGGCACAAGGTGCAAAAATGGGAAAAGAACCATTTCGGGGAGTCTTATTCCATCTTTTCCCCATTAATGCTGTATGATATAGCTACTTAATGTCTTTCAGTCTTAGGAAGTGTTGGGGTACGGGGAAAAAATTTACTGTAGCCCTAAAGTGCCATTCTACAAGACTGGTGAGACCTCTTTTAGAATACTGTGTACAGTCTGGTTATCATAGGTTAAGAAGAAGCAATTCAAACTAGAGCAGCTACTGAGAAAGGCTAGTAGGGTGAACAACAGTGGAGTACTGATCTTACGAGAGGGCTCGGTTGACACTGATGCCTTTAGTTAAGCTCAAAGAAAACTGGAAAAGGGTATTATTGCCCTTGAATGCCTACAGAAAGGCAAATTGCAGGGACAGAGAAGAGCTATAGTTTTCTATGCTAAAAGGCATACTAGTCCAAAAATAATTGGGTATAAGCTGCCATGAATAAATTTAGCCTGGCCAGTTAGATGTTTTCCAGCCCTTTGAGAAATGGGAATCTGGATCAATCTACAAGAAGTGGGGAGGGGCAAGAAAACGGCTTTGTTTTAAGATGGAGTTTGATCAGTATAATGCACTGAGCTGCTTGTATGAGGCTGGCTGTGATAGGAGGGAATAGGACTTTCTAAGTGCTCCTTCTCAGGCCTTCATTCCTTTGGCAGACAGCCTGATACTGTGTACTTGAGAGGCGCTTTACAGGACCCTAGCTGATGTTAAGGGACAGGGAAAAATACATTTGAGAGGAAGAAGTTTGCAGACTGACACTCTGGCATAGTGCTCAAAATTTCTTCTCACTGAGAAATGTTCTTATCTGAAAACCTTTCTACCTCCAAGGTTTTGTACTCACGCCTAGAAAACTGGTTGGAGGCAGAGGGTAGCAGGTAAATAAATTTACGTGGATCAGAGATAGCAGGGAAATGTCTTTAGTAGATAAGAAGACATTTACTGCAAGTATATATAGTAAATACAAAGATACTCACTGCAAGTGGAACCTGCAGTGAATTTAACCCACATTTTGCAGGGTGAATGTGTCTGCATAGTGAGAGTATCCCATGTTTTTCATTTCAGTACTGAGTCTAGATATTGCTTAATTTACTGATACGGCAGGATAAGTTTTAGTTGTTGATTGCGTTTGTCTAAACTAAGTTTGCTTAAGCACCTACCAGAAATGCTCTAATGTTGGGCATTGTTAGTGAAATAATAGCACAAATAGGAAACGTTTTAGATTTCCTTTCAGAAGCTAAAGGCAAGATAGAAACGCTCCCGGAATCAAACCGTACACTCCCTAGTGCCGCTGCACACAATTTTAAGAGTCAGTCAAAATTCTAGTCTAAGAAAATATGTTTCTGTGTTCCTCCGTTTGTTCATCCGTCTGTTCTGCAGCCCCTTTCTCCATCTTAGCCCCTGTTTACCTCACTCTTAATTGCTCCAGTCTTGAGACAGACAAGTAATGCAACCCATTGGCACTGTCCCATGCTTGTTTAAAAGGATTATGAAAAGCAATTAGGACAAAATAGTGTCTTTTATGTTGTAGCTTAGATGCATTGTCAAGTATTTGCTCTTGAAATAGTGGAATTGAAATGGGTTGTTTTCACTGCTACTTTGGCTGGCATATTTGGCACTTACAAACCAGCTATTGCAGCTGTGCTAAGCGTGGGGCTGCATTTGTCTTATTTGTTTTGATGTTCAATGTCTTTCCCTCCCTTATTTAAATGAAGCTGACAGCCAAAAAAGAACTGATTCTTCATTTTGTGGACTGTCTAATGAGAGCTATTGAGCTATACAAGCAGCGAATGGAATGGTTAACCAGTGAAAGCCGACAGATATTTGGAGTGATTCAAGAACAGTGCATTGTCATTGTTTTGGATTTTGGCACTGTGTCTCCAACTGAATTTGACCTATGCTGTGATGCACTTTCGATGGTCCTCGTGGAACAGGTGACCCAAATTGCCAAATTTAACCTCATTCGGTAAGCAGAAAGAAATATATGTCTGCCCATTGTTGGAGAATAAAAAAAAAGTATCATATCATATAGATATGTGTTTGGATAATATGCTTTCTGTAGCAGAAATCATTATGATTTGTGTCATGATAATAGCTGTAGATTTTCCACCAAGTTTTACCCACAGTAATGTTGAGCTTGGTACTTCCATTTAATGGAAGACCATTCTTACCACCCTGAGGAACAGATAAACACTAGCAGAAAACAGTTATTGATATGTGCCTTTTACAACAGTACCACAGAAAAACAGAAAGATAAGGGAGACTCTGCAAGAGCAGTAGTGCATCTAAGTAAGGCCTATAAGCATTACAGAGTGATCCAGACAGGTCCCGTCTGACTGCCTAGGCATTCTCATGTCTTTAGCTGTTACAGGTTTCTGCCTTAAAACCAAGTATTTAAAAACCAAGTAACACAGGCAGAGGCATAGTTATTCATATTTCTATGGATATCCATGGTCACACAGAAATCAGTAGCAGAACTAGGAAACAATACTAGATTTCCATAACAAAAGATAAGTGCTGCTCCCTAACATGAGTAAATGAATTTGTGTTTAATTACAAACAGAAAAATAGAAGCAGCTATTCAAATTTACGTATCTCTGCACAAATTCTCATTTGTGCATAAATGTTTGAACGCATACGTTTGGGTTTGGATAGATGGACGGACGTTTGGGTGTATGAAAATATTATGTGCAGTTTAGCCCATACAATTTTGAAATTGGTTCCACAGAACTGACTTACAGCAATTTAGGAATCTCAGTTTAGGAACTGAGATTCCTAAAGTCATTTTACACAAGCTAATCCATCTTAATTCTGATGCTCTGTCTTAGTTCTCTACCTTGAGATACACCTGAGATTTGAAAGGTAGAAGGCAACAATGCATAGCTTTTAGGAAGCACATGTAGCATTTTCTTTAAAGATGGTCTGCAAAGCTAAGTCAAAATTTAGGCACTGTAACCTAGGAAGTGTTTGTCGAATTTGTCATTGCTGATCATTGCTACAGGAGGAGGGAGGCAAGGCGCACTGTAGCATACAGTATTACCTTAAAGAATCTGTGAAAGCATACTGGTCCTTTAGGTTTGCAGAAAACTCTTCAGAATAGTACTTGCTGGAATGTCACGGATCCTGGAACCAGTTATTTTTTTTATTTGCTTTCTGTCTTTTTATGTGCGTGCACAGACATACACATTCATGTATTTTGCACTTCTGTAATACCATTAAGACAAAGGCTTTTGATTAGTTAAAATATCAAAAAGCTTAGCATCAGAAATTTTATTTTCATAGGCAGATAAAGATCAACTCTCTTACAGAAAACACAGGTAAGATAAAATGATCTGACACAAAGACCATGCAGCAAATTGTGAAGAGAGACATGTAGAAGGCAGATTTTTTTTTTCATAAACCTATTAAAAAACCTGATTATGCTCTCTCACAACTTTTTAAAGAAAAAAATCATGCTGATAACTCTCTGGGCAACAGTATGAGAGACAGGCTGTGTCCTGCTGCTAGACTACAGCTTGCCCAGTTAGGAGCCTGTATAACCAATTACTGCTGAAAGTGATCCTTTATATTAAGGATAAATATGAACAGGAACAGGAACTGTTTGTAAAAGTACTTCAGCCATCTTGACCCTGCTTTGGAAACAGTGATCTTAAAAAAAAAAAAAAGTGCTATAAAAATTCCAGTATTTTTCTGAGGGTTTTATTTTGCCTCTGCTTCCCTTAATGCAGATGTAGATTTAGTATGTGTGATTTATTATTATTGTTATTATTACTTACAAATCTATCAAAATAGTAACAATCACAGAGATCTGTTCTTGTTCTTCGCCAGCATTATTCTAACTACTTCTGATTTATGGTTCATGTCACTTTCAGGGCTGCTCAGGATCTTGTGAAGTGGCAACAGAAATCTGCTCCCGTTTCTGAACATACTGTAAAGTCTGCTGTTAAGTGGCTCTGGAAGCTGGATCGTATGACAGCTGCCAGCCCTACCAGCTCTGCTGAGGCTCTGCTGGAAGCCATGAGAGATGAGACAGTAAGCTCATATGTCTTTTCAGAAGCCTCAAGTAAATCCAAGAATATTAAATGCCAAACTGGCTACCATGATTTGCGCTGATGAATTTTGAAATGATAAATATTAATGGAAGGGTTTGCAAGGACTTTTTTTCCATTATAGCTGCATACTATGTTTACTGATAGCCTGTTCATGTAAACATATTGTATTTTGAAAGCAGAAACTTGTTTGTTTTCTTTTCCATGGAGCACACAGATTAAATATTCATTCAACATATTCCTTCTTTAAGGGAAAGAGAAATTATCTTCCCTTCCACTGTCTTTACCATATATGTTTTTCAGGGTCTCAAGCTTATAAAAATATTATTTGTATGCAAATATTTGTATTTGTAACATTACTGAAGACAGCTAAACCGTTTTTATTTTGTAATGTATCTAAAGTGCTCGTGGAAATTTTTGTTTAAAATCCAAACTGGTTGGAAAGAATTATACTTAAGCATTAGCCGATTGTAGGGGCCTGCAAATCCTTTTGCGTCATTCAGATTATAGACAAAGTTTTTTCCAGGACAGTAGCGCAAAGCATATCCAAGTATTGCTGCAATTAAATTCTAAAAGTGCCATATTGCATTATTTATGCATTGTAGCAGAGCCACAAGACATACAAAATATATGCCATCGTTTGAGCTAGCCGTCATTTGAGCTAGTCACTTAAAACTGGTCTCATGAAAGAGACGTTGTATGAAATTTGCTTACAACGTAAACTAATTTGGCTCCCTGGCACCTGAATTTAAGGGAAAATTGGGCCCATTGTGTGTGGACTAGAATCACTAGCTCTTACTGCCATTAAGATCCCTCCCTCTGTGCAGACCCAGTCCTAACTTCCTCATAAATCTCATTCTGAGACATTGTTTGAAGGAGAAGGTAGATTGGTCTTGAGTGTCTTACTGGCTCCCAATATAGGTGAATTGTCAACCGGATAAACCAGATGATGTTTGAAAATGGATTTTGAAAAGGAACTGGGTGAGGAGCAAATTGTGCAAGAGAGTGACGTTTTTTATGACTGCTTTTTTAGATACCTCTTTCATAAATGTTATTACCGTTTTCAGTTTGAAATATGTTACTGATTTCCTGCTCGAAAAACAAAAAAGATCATATTTAGATTTCAGTATGGTCTGGATGAAAAAAAAGCTTGTTGGACCTGGCGTGTGTGAGTATGAACAAACAGCAATTAAAATCCACCTGACAGTGAAACATCTATTATTTTTTCTGGACATTGGTGGGCTAGTGCATAGCTGGGGGAGTCAGTTTTGGCCGATGATCAATAGAAAGCAGACTTTAATTACTCCTAAATACAGTCAATATCATTCATGTCTGACAGCTTGGTTTGAGTGCAAGCTTCACTGTAGTGCAGGCTGGTGGAGTCCCCGTTCAGTCACAGGCAAAAGCTGCATACTCACTGAACAGTCATAAATGACTCACTCCTTGGAGCTGGCTTCGTCAACAGAAATTGTTCCAAAACAATAGCTCCTTTTTCCCTAGACTTGGCGCTCTCTGTCTTTCCTTTAGTGGAGCTTTTCTTCCCGTGTATGGCTACTCCCTCGATTTCCTTTCCTCGTGACTTTCTGTCCCAAGCTCGAGATCACTCTGCCATAAAGTTGCAATCCTTCAAGGTGTACCTTCCACAACTGCATTTGCAGTGTTTAACTTGCAGTTCCATACAGGTGTGTCACACTACTCTGCCAAGCTTGGGGCAGGGGTCGCTCATCCAGAGTGCACCTCCCCACCAAGACAGAGACTGTGAGGAACTGCTCATGCTGTTCTCCTTCCTGTTCTTTTAGGAAGTTTACTTGCTAGTTTAGATGCCTGTGTAAATTATCCTTTTCAAAATATGAAGGACTACATACAAAGGTTTGAACCTTTCCCCCACTAATCTGTAAGAACCATTTCCTTCGTGGTATATTATTGCTGGGTTTGTAGTTAAGTGGAATATATTGTCTGTGGTTTGAAATTTTGTTTATTTTCTTGTCAGGAGTTGGTTTTGTGTCAGCTAAGCCCAAGAAACTTCAGCATTTTAAAAGCTGCAGGGGCAGGCAGTAAATTCTTTGGAAGAAGTGTGAAAATTGATATCCTAATTAAATACCAAGCTTATGAATTATTGGCAGTCTTGGAAAGGAGGAGAAGCCGTGAATCAGGAGGAACACAGGGCAGCGTGGTCGTGCAATATGTGCGTGTCCCCCCAGGTCAAACGGGTCTTCAGCAAAAGGAATTTCAGAACAAGGGTATTGTCTCAGGACTGGGTCCCAGCTGGGAGAGCTGTGTACGTGCTCTGACAGCTTTTTAGCTGAATGAAACAGGGAGGGAACCTTTTAGAACTGAACTGAAGCATAGATAGCTGCAAGCATTGTTTCCTTTTGTTTCTGTACATCTGCCTCTAAGGTTAGTATTTTGTTAATCTTGCTCTTTAATGAAATACGTTTATTGATCTCTTTAACGTTAATCTTTGTCTAGTGTTAACAGTGATGTCAGGGATCCTGGCCAAGCACAGGCTTGCTCCCATGTAAGCGTGATCTGTAAGTATGGGTCCTGGCTCCCTTGTGGACTGTCTAGCCCCCTCTACAAGATGCAGGGGAAGCCTGAGACAGCATGGTGCTGCTTCAGCAATTTACCCAGTCTAGTATGGGATTTGACTGTCTGTTTGGGAGAGAAGTTTTCCAGTGATGAGCATTAGCCAGAGTATTTGTGGGAAAAGATAGAGGGGAGAGAGCCTGAAATCCAGAAGTCCATGTCAGTTTATGTCAATGTGCTCATGATGTGGGACAATAAGGGGAGACTGCAGCCTGGAAGCTGCGAGTACAAACTGGATAAAAGATGTCCACCTGCTAATCTGTTGGCTTAGGGAGCTGAAATACAAATCAGTGTTAAAGGCAGTAATGGTAATGCTTGAACACACTTTTAGGTGATACTGAATTAGCTTTACTTTGCATGAAATAATGTGAGCGCAGAAAAACTTGCTCAGTGCCTTCCCAAACTCAAACAGTTTTGCCTTCTTTTCTCGTTCGTGGTGCATGTCCAGGGTTCCCTACCATACCTGTGGTATTTTTAGTTAAACAGCTGGTATTTTTCAATTGGTGTGTACCTTGCCGAAGGACCCAGTGTGCTTTGTTTATTGTCCTGAACATCATGAGGAGATAAGTGTTGCTACATTTGTTTTTAATGAAAGTCTAAATCCAAAAAGCATGCTTACCCTGAGGATTGTTATCACGGCTACATGCAGGCAACATCACATCTATCACAATGTAATACACAGGCAGTAACTAGAAGACATTTATTCAATTTATCGCAATTCAATCCTTCTTACAATAATGTTTTCATATCATATGCGTATGTGGTTGTAACAAGCCTGCCAAGCTCTCTCTGCCTTGGGAAGAATAAAGAATATGAATTATCTGTAAATACCTGCAGCAGAATTCAAAGAATGATGCGTCTTTCCTACCCCTCAAAATACGTGCTGCCAATAAAATCAGTTTTGGAATAAAAGTTCTTACTAATTTTTAGTCCTGGCAAGGCACCACCATAGCGTCTCTCTTCTTAAAAGCAGAGTGCAGCAGAGCGCCTCATCCTGACTAATAATGAAGGTGTCATCTCTTACACCTGTCTTTGTTTATCCATTAACAACTTCTGTGGTAAGGGGCTTGTGTTGGGCAGCATCAGACCCAGGCATTGTGAGCGAGGTTCAGTTCTCACTTCAGGAAGTGTTATGCATGTTACACTTCATTTGAATAACTAGTGTAAATGAGAGGGAGAACCAAAGACATGCAAGTGTTATAGCCCAAGTAAAGCATCAGTTCAACCAACTTTTCATTCCAGTACTCAGCACAGGACAAAGTTTGAATAAACGCCAGACATCTCTACAAAACAGTCAGTCTTGCCATTTTTTTGTTTTCTGTTTAATGACAGGTTGAAGCTGTTTATTTCTTTGCTGTGGGTGATATTCCTGGAGATGCAAAGCAGCTACTTCTTCTTCAGATTTCTGATGGCCCTTGCCCCGTCAACACAGTATCTTTCAATGCCAGGGAAGATGAAACTGTTATTTTCCTGAAGGAGTTGAGCCGCTTGGCCTCTGGCAGGTATGACAAAAAGAAACACAGTAATGATTTCAGTATTTGTAAAGTGCTTTTCTGAAAGGAGCGGTATGGAAGATATCTGAATATTATCGCAATGTTACGTATGGAGAAAATGAGACAAAGCCGTTCAGTAAGTGGTGCAGGGAAACAGAGGAAATCATTTAAAGAGCTATGGCTAAAATACAAGGCCTACCTGAGCAGACCAAACTTCTGTTCAGATGAATGCTCACTGACTTGCAGAAAGGCCATTCTTTATTTATATCCTAAATTGTATGTCATCTGCTGCTCTTCTGGATACTGAGAAATTGTTCAGAAGAAAAAGTCACAACAAGAACCGAAACAACTTTTTATTGTTATGCTTTGTATTTTGGTAATATCCACAGGCACCAGCAAAGGATTATGGTTTTGTTGGTTTAAGTGATATATTGACATGTACTGAAAAGGTAGTCCCTGTCCTAAATAGGCATTTCCAGGAATAACAAAATATTGAGGTAGTGTTATCCATTACACTTGATGGTGTGAAGCTGCAGTTCTCTCCATGGGTCTATTTGATGTGGTTGGCGGAAACGGAAATATTTCACCTGGCACCAGGTTTGCTGCCTTATCCTGGGAACCAGCCATGTGAATCTAGAATCAGCCTTCAGTAGAAAGGGATAATATGACTTTAATCTTGATGCAGATAACAAAATGAGAAAAAAAAAAAAAAGCAGCATGATACCGAACTCATGCTGAACGACAGGAGGGGCAGTAGGAGTCAGTAGGTGTTTGTCTCTTTAACAGAAGTCACCATAAGTCACAGAGCCATGAAATGGCTGCTAGTTCTTTCTGTTTTGCTGTTAGTTGTGCGGGAGTGGGAAGACCTCCAACAGTAGAAATCTCCCAAATGGCAGCAGAGCAGGTGGTAAGATGGCAGCTGCTTAGCTCTTTTATAGCCATCTGTGTTTAGAAGTAGCTTTTAAGAGATGGAGTGTCTGCCAAAAGCAGAAAGTGGGAAACTATGGGAAAGTGTTATGTTTGCTGTGATCTGATGTGTGTCTAAATGAGTGTGGTCATTTAGAGCTGCAGTACCTCCATGATACCAGGTGCCTTGCCAGTCACCATCCTTCATTTTCTTTTGTCAGTGTTTGTTTCTCCATTATAAAAGGAAGGTGAATGTTTCTTGTATGGTGGAGAAAGAGGCAAGAGGGGTGTGGCAGCAAGCTGAAAAGAACCATTTCATCTGATATGATTCCCACTGAGTTTTCAATAATTTTGCATGATTCCAGCTTAGGTGCAGAGACTTGGTAGGCCAACAGATATCTTGCTGCTGGGTGTTTGCCCAATAACTGCATATGAGTTTAAGTCAGCTTCCCCATAGGAATGGCCAAAGTTCCTGGTCTCTTCATAGTTTGAGTCTGATTCTTGTGTAGTTCAGTTTTTTTTTTTTTTGGAGATGCATCTTTTTTTCTCTCTCTGAGTGCTTTTCTTTTTTTGACAGTGAGGGTAAATGTAGTCTACTTGAATTCCTGACGTGTGTGTCAATGGTAACATAAATGTTCCTGTTGGGCTTTGAACTGAAAGATGAGCTGATTAAAAGAAGTTAGTGAAATAATGTGCTTGCTTAGTATGTTAAAAGTGTTAATTAAAACAGATTCCCAGAAGATTGAAAAGGAAGGTGCCTCAGAGTAGACAGTACCAAAATGAAAGGATGTTCTTCATAAAAAAGACTTCAGAATGTATGTAAATGTACATAAAAGGTTTCATAATATTCATAATGTTGTTGAAGGCTTGGATATCTGGAATAGGTAAGGAAATAATTCCAAAGTTGTACACCACTATGAACCTGCATATGTGACATATATCTAGTAAAAATTATAGGAAGGTATTTACATAGATTGCATAATGGTGAAACCCTATTTTGTATTACAGATTCCATGCTTTTGTTGAGAGGATTGACTACATAGATGCTACTGGACCTGCACCAAAATGTGAAGAGGATGGAAACGGTCTCAGTGCCCAGAATTCCAGAAAAGTGAAAGGGCGGATGCCACTAGGTAGACAATAAAAAAAACCCAAAATGATACTGATTTTCTCAGTAAGGTTTCAAAATAACAACGTAACATAGGGACTTGCCAAACTCAAAAGAAGCCTTCTGTCGGCATGGGTGGGGTGGGGACAGGCTGGTCAAATGGAAATTCTGTGGGTTGGAAGGAGAGGGAAAGGAAAAGAGAGAAGTGAAGAGAGCAGAGGATGTGCTTGTGGGAGAGGATGAAAGAGAAGTGAAAAAAGGAGAAGCAAGAAAATGTATGTTATGAGCTGTGGAACAGTACTGGTGTGCTTATGGCAGTGACCTTGTGGAAATGTAAAGAGAAATGGCAGAAATGAAGAGGAAAGAAAGATAGGAAGAATGTGAAAGATCAACTGATACAAGAGCCACATTGATACAGGCCAAATTCGTACCTGATATAAGGGGTTAAGACCACATGAAGTTGACTTGCTTCTCTCAGGATCTGAATTTATCATAAAGATAGGCAAAAGGCTTTTAAAAGCATAGTAAAAAGAACCAGAGAAAAGAGAGAGCAAGGAGGAAAGAAATAGCAGAGAGAAGCAGAGGAGAAACAGAATCCCTGTGTTAATGGGGGTAGGGCTTGGCCTAAAGCTCTCAATGTGATTCTTACTAGTCACAGTGCTACCTTCTCTGTGATAAGTCAGCCTGAGTGTGTAGTGGGACTGGATCGGGGTTTCAAGCAGGCTGTGAAGAGACCAGCTTGTGCTGTGAAGTGAGGCTGCAAGTGTCTGAAATCTTTATAAGCAAGAAATTCAATTTAAAAAGTGATGTGTTTTAAACATCAGGAGGCATAAGACCTCTACTGTCACGGTTTGCATTTCCATTCTGCTGGTGCACTTCGTGAGTGTGGCCCCAATGGTAGAACGGTATTATCCTCTTCTTACTGCTAGGGATCCTATGGCATAAGGTGGATTTTGTGACTCACTTAAAGACTTATGACAGTCTTTGACCAGCTAGCCCGTATTTCCCAGGTCATAGTGTAGTTCCTTGTGTACTAAGCTATCCTTTACTGTACACTAAGATCATGATTGTAACAGTACAAAAGAACCAAGAGAAATAAGAGCGCAAGGTGTCACCTGTTTGTTTGCGTCATTAAAAGACACTCAAGCCTGTCCTGCACAGGGTTGAAAAACTAACAGCAGAGTATGCTTCAGAATCATGTCTCTCATTTTATACTAATTTAGAGCCCTGTAATGATCACCTTCATCCTGCCGGAAGTGCTTCCTTGCCCGACCCCGTTTTGGGGCAGGGCTGGGGGAGAGGACGCAAGACTCTCCTTTTCCCCCAGGCAGCCAGCCTGTTTCCATAGACAGGCCTAGAGCTCCTGTATGACTGAAATTACTTCCTCACCACTGTTTCTAAAGCTGAATGCTGAGTAGCTTTAATCACTCAAAAGGGCAGTAATCTCCTTGAAATGCATTGTCTGCTGTGTCTTACTGCTATTATGGAGTAGAATTTACACATTGAAAAGGAACACAATTAGCTTTCGGCACTTACTGGGTATTATAACCACAGTTGTGACATCACTGACAACCAATCAGAGCGTTCCAGTTGTAGGCAGAATCTCAAATCCCTTCAGAAAAGAAAATACATTGGAGACATTATTCTCGTCTGTGTCTGATGTCTCTTGTTTCCGAGTCTCCTTGAAGGATGTAGAAGGCAATAATAATAAAAACGCTGATTACCTGCTAATGTGTTCGGAAACTGGTTTTTGGATATGTGGCATAAATTATAGAAGGGAATAAATAGAAAATGAACTGGCTATTTAATTCCAAATGTGGTGTTTCTTGGAAATTAAGGGGAGGCACAGGGACATTTTGATTCTGTTCCTTTTTGTACCACAAATGCAACAGCTGGAAATTCAAACTCATCGTTACGTTTTATGGCCTGAAGAAGCCATTTTAAGACCATCTGATAGTTTTCTGGGTATCCACTGAATAACTTCATTTTGCAAATACCGGATATCTTCGTGTTCACTCTTCTTCATATACTTAACCAAAGTCAGTCGGAAGTGAGCTATTTAAAACTTAAGATACGAGCTTAATTCTCCCCTGTTTTGCATCTTGAGCAGTCATTTAGAAAGTAAGTGTGAGAAACTGCCAGATTTGAATTTTTTTTAACACTCAGTTTGAATGGATGCTCAAGATCAAACAGGTGTAAGCCACTAAAGAGTTAGGGTCCTTATTTTGGCAGACTCAGATCTACTTAAGGCAAAAGAAATGCCCTTACATAAAGCCTTATTTGGACAAATGTAGTGATATCTCCTTATCCTTCCAGCACTGATTTTCTGATTATCACTTCTGCCTACATTCTTTGTGTAGCTTCTTCATCTGCAGGAAGGTGCAAATTAAGCAATTCTGTTATGTAGTTACAATTTTAAATGGAAGAGGGAAGGGAGACGAAATTTAAGGGAAGGAAGATGAAATTTAGTTGGAACTTGAAGACATAGGGGGCCAGAGACGGTGGACGCTGTGGAGCAGGTTCTTCCTGGGAAGTGTACAGTGGTGTTACCTGTTTGGAGTGATAGTGAGATAAGTGTTGAGCAGGGTTTGAAGAACAATGGCATTTTGAGCTAGATCCTGTAATGAATAGTAGCTCCTCGTTGGCTGAAATAGGAACAGCAGTAAATCTCCGGGCGGTGTTTTTCTCTGTGTGATGGAATAGATGAGTTGACATGCGTAAAGAAAATGTTTGTGGATTGCAATCAGGACTCGACTGGTGTGAGAAATCTGAAGAGGGATATATCTCAGCGTGGACAGTCCTCTGGAATAACAAATTATTCAAGGCTGCGTAGGCTTATGAGTCTGACTGGCTTACAAGCAGTCTTGGCTGTTCTCTTAGGTCTGCCTGATTGTCCACAGTTACCTGGTGGTCACAGGGAAAACTTAGGTTGGTATATGTAAATGGGAAGCATAACAGTGCCAGCCTCGTGTGTAACACTGAAGTAAGTAACCTTTGCACACAGACATGCGGGAGAGAGAATGCGCGCTTCAGAGAACTGGGATCATGTCTTCAGAGTGGCTCCTTTGCCTATAAACTATAGTAAAGATCATTGTCTCTGCTTTTTCCTTACGTATGCTTTGTCTAGTCGTAGAAGCCTAACCTTGGCCTGGCAAGTCTCTTTGCTAACGTGTAGAGGGTGATGCAGATAGCTGCCCTGCAGTACCACATGGGGTACAAAGTTCATTTACTTTGTCCATTTGCGCAGTGGGAAAGGGGCAGGATCTGGCTAGAATGAATCTCTCCGCAGCTTGACCTAGTAGGTATACAGGCAGCAGCTGACCCTCTTATGGTCTTTTGCACCTCTGATTCATCCCCTTCTAAGTGTGGATTTTAAAAAATCAGCACTTCTGGGAATGCTGCTATGTTCTACTGCCCCACAGAGGCTGAGGTAGGGACCAGCAGTGAAAAAATTGAATGGCCACTCCTAAGTTGCAGGCAAATCGAATGTAAGATATATCTTCTTCCGTTACGTTTGGATTCACTTCCATGGTCCAAGTCAGGTAGTCAGAGAAGGATACTATACTTCTGTTTTGCATGGTTTACATTTGTGTTGTTATTTGCTTGGTTTTCAAAGGTACTGTAGATTTTTAAGGCTTTTTTGTATGGCTTTTCTTCTAAGCAGGTATTAAACGTTACATGTGAAATCAAGTGGGTTAAAATGACTTGTCAGACTGGATGAGTTTGTCTTCTGGCAGGTAGGCGTGGAAAAATTTCTTCTTTTAAGATTGCCTGCCAATGTGAAATAGCTGGGAAATGGAAATGAGGATGGTTATTAGTTTCCATATATATGTGCAAGCATGTGTGTATTTTTGCTTAGCCATATTGCCTTCCTTCTCAATTAGCAGGTGTCAGCAAAATGCCGCTGCCCTAGACTCTCCCTTGTGCCCTTCCGTGTCCTCTTCCTCTTTTTCAGGGACTCTGTTCTCAGGGGCAGAAACGCCATATCATTGAGGGCAGGGCCTCCTCGAGCACAGCCAGCTGCACACTTTGTGCTCATTTGTTCTCATTTGGCTGAAATTTTAGTGGCCAAAGGCGAAAAAGCAGCCTGCTTCTCTGCAGCGGGACTCTAGGCCGGTGCTGCCGTTGCTCTGCAGGGTTGCAACGGCGTGAACTCATCGCAGTGAGAGTCAGGCAGGGAGGGGGATGGCAAGGGCGAAAAATAACCCTTCACTCTGAGCACAAGCTGGGAGTGAACAAGAGAGCGTTAGCCCCGTTTCGCTCATGCGTTTCCTGCGGCTGCTGGCTGTGCCGTGGCCGTCGCCCGTGACGTCGTTTGAATTGGAGCCAACGGGTTCCTGGCTTGAGCCCAGGGGTCGGTTAAACTGTCAGCCAGGGCGGCCGGGTGGGCCGTTTCGTGGCTGGGGTGAGGGGAGGGCTGTTTTCCTCTCGTGAGTGGAACAACCCTTAAAGCCTTAAAGCTCTTAAAAGCCATTAAAACACGTTTTTTAAGGTGAGGTGGTTCCTGGGGGGGGGAGGGGGGGGGCGAGGGCCGAGGAACAGGACGGAGCAGGGGCTGTTGGCCTGGACGGTGCCACCGGTGCAGTGGTTTGCAACTGCTTTGCAGTTTGTGACCTTAAAAATGGCACAACTGAGGTGTGAACGCAGAGCGTTTAAACTGACGAGAGGTTAGTTTTTCTTAGCCAGTTTTCACTGATGCGCTTCAAAGTAGTCAACTATGGTCAGGCCACGGGTTCAAAAACACTGCCTAGAGGATGCTGATGTGGTTTGTGTGTGTGTGTATGTATTTTGGGTCTGGGGACTCAGCTGCTAGAGATACAGCTTTTCCTTCCCAGTTCTCCTTAGCTGTAAAGGAAAAGAGGTGGAGGTGGAGGTGAGTCTCCCATGTAGAGACAGAAAGTTGCTGCGGTGGCATGGCTTGCATGCAACCTGCTCTTCCAGTTGAACCCAGGAAAGACTGTTGCCCGGATGAAAGGTTTTCTAAGCAACCTGACATTAGCAATGTAGAGTTGTTGATGCCTGCATTTGCCCTGTAAAATATGTCTCATCAAACCTATTTGCTTTAAAAATGTATGCAGTTTTACTTTGCTGTGTTGCAGCATGAAAGCAAATAGGAAAAAATAGTGTCTTATATAATGTTAATTCAATGCACGTGTTGTTGGAGAGAACAATAGTGTTCCTGTAAAATTGAAGAGTCCATAGCATTAATTAAAGGGGAAGTGAAGAAACACTATAAAATACTCAATGTTATTTTGAAAGTAGTTGAGAAATTCTTCATTCTTTAAATATTTTCAACATAACATTAAAAATCTTCATAAAATTAAATCTAGACCCTGCTATTTGATAGCTTGTGGAGGGCATATAGATGTGGAAGTGGAAGATGGCTTCACTGGAATTGCATTTTCAACAGTCTTAAATTTAGACATATGTGCATGTGTGCGAGTGCATGTATTTTGTGGCTTTACTTCTGTACTGTTGCAGCAGATGTATAGTCAATGGCTGGCTCCTCATCAGGGAACGTGTAGCTCCCTACTTGCTGGAGTTTTGCTAACAGTCGTATTTTGTATGTTTTGCATTTCTGGGGAGGGATTGTTTATGAAAGAAAAGTTGACTTTCTAGCTAGCTAGGCTAGCATCCCTAAGTATTTGAACAGAATACATTTATTGAACTTGTAAGGTCATGAAGACTTTATTTTTCTCTCTGCCTTGTATGTTTTATACTGTGGAAAGGTTTGCTTTACTTAGGCTCTTTGCAACTGAGGAAATGTTGATTTTTGTAGTATTGGCTGAAGCAGATTTTTTTTGAAATACAGACAGGTCCCAGGAGATGGCAGTGTACAATAACACATTTCAAAATATTTCTTGGAAATAAAAAGGATTTCGCATGTGAAATTCAGTTGTTATTTTGTAAAACATGTTCGTATTACTATTTCAGGGAAGTTTATCAAAGAACAAAATGATCAGGTTTGTTTGCTAACTGATAGCCTACTTTAGTAGACAGGTTTGCGTGTCTTATCTTTTGTATAGTGACCACTGTATGTTCACTAAACCACTAGATGCTAAGATATACTTTAACGTACTCAGCATCTTCATCTGCAATTCAGTAATAGGTTGTAATCTGTAATAGGTTGTAATCTGCATTTACAGTTAGGAGAGCTTATGATTTGGTCCCTTTTATGTATTTTTTACTGTAATGCTGCACGCAGTTTTTCTATATTGCAGTCCGTCCTATATTGCAGTCTTAAGCTCTGGGGTTAACCTAATTTAAGACATTTTTTTCTTAGTAGTTTGTAGACTGCTTAAATACACGGGGTGCCTCAATGTTAATAGTTGTACTCTACTAAGTAAATATACATTTTAATCTTTTAATCAAGGTCAAACATAGCTGTCAAGATAAAAAAAACCTTGTGTCAACTCCAGCTTTGGATTTTTTCATTTATTTGAGAATGTAGCCTGATAGCAAAGGTTTTTCTTTTTTTAACATTTAATTACAACTGCTGAGGTTTGTTAAGATGAAGATGAATGTATCTTACCAAACTTAAATCACATACTCTTCAGGGAAAAGGATTGCAATTTAAATGTATTTATGTACTTTAGGAGAAGAAGCTGATAATGTTCTCTCTTTAAAGTTTCAAAGTTAGATGTACTATTTTGAGCCTTCCTTTGCAATGAACTCCAGGGGACCACATGTGAATTTCTGTGTGGAATTTCCTTATTTTCTGGTAGCGTTAAAAAGGATTTGTTCCCATTATGGGAATAGACTGCAGCCAACTCTGTAGGTTACTTCTACCAGTTAAGCACCTCTCATGTCCTGACATTCTCTGTACCGAGGATTTAGTGCCAGCTCTAAGCCCTTTTTTGACCTCCGTCAAAGAAGAGCACTTATCGTTGCAATGGCACCCTGTTAACAAGGTCATATGGCAATATTTAGATAAACCCAATGACTTCATGGTAATAGAGAAGTTATAAAGGTGAAAGCAGAATTTGTCTCAAAATGCCAAGTTCTGTCTGTTATTCTTTTTGCAGTAGCTGGTGTCCGTGAAGATGTCTTCTTGATCTGGAAGGAGTTAGAGGAAGCTAGGAGTACACTGACGCAAATCCAGAAAATTTTATCAGAATCTGACCAGCCTGCTTCTCAAGATGGTATCATTTATGTTCCTTTCAAGAGAGTGACCATTGCATTCATGATCAGTTTGTTTTGTTTGTGGATAGTTTTTATTATATGTCAATTTAGGGATGATTTTCTTCCACCTAGTTCCACTTAGGTGGATTTAGCAGCAGTATAGCAACATAGGCAGAATCTACACTTGGCATCTAAATGGAGGGTTGCTTAAAGTTTTCCATTACAAACCTCTGTTTACTGCTGCTTAAAACTTGCTGAACTTTAACAACTCAGGCTGAAACACGCCATTGTTAATTCACCAGTGGCTAGGTTTGGAAGTTACCTAGATTTCAAGATTTTTTTTGTACCAGAGAGAGAAAAAAAGCATTCTGGAGCCCCCTAGTTTAGGTATTTGCCTGAGTACTGATTTCACAGCGTTCTGGACGGTTTCCATATTCTATATTAAACAGACCTTGGACAAAATAGGGAAACAGTCTGAGAAAGAGGGATCGTAACCTGAAATGCCCCATTTTTAGGTTAATGTACTCACCACTGATGTAGAGAATTTCAGTTCCTCTTTTATGCTCTCTTCCTCTCTGCCTGGGCCAGCAAATCTTTCATTGTGTTCTGCAGAGTGCTAGGGAAGTACCCTATCTTTTTCTCGTCACGGTCTTCTTGGGATAGGCTCTAATCTGGTAGCTAGAATATTCTCTTGAAAGGGAAGAAGTGTGGGTTTGAATTCTCTTAGGCAGAGGTAGAGAGCTGAAACCAAATCACTCTTATTCTGGGTAAGTGCTCTGACTCCTAAGATACATGGAACAACACCCACATCTCATCACTAAACAAATAGTTTCCACCATTATATTTTGTCCTTGCACCGTTATATTTTGTCCAGAGCATGATCTGTTTGTTTTTCTGTGTATATTGGACTGAGCCTTTCTGGAGACAGAAGCATCGCTGGTTTCTGAATCCCTGGAAGGATAAACAGGGATCAGTGAAAAGATGCTCAGCTCTGCTGAGATGGAGGTGCTCTGGGCATGCTCTGGAGCACAGTGATAACACTGGCAAGTTTTAAATCCTGGAAACTTGAGAGTTTGTCAAGTCTAGGTAGCTTCAGGGTTAGATTGCAACTGAAAGGCTGGTTTTTCATGATCATGGCTGTGATTGTCAGTGCCTATATTCTGCAGGAGTTCCTGGTTTTAAAATACTTACATAGAGCCTAGTGTCGTTTTTTTTTTGCCTAAGTTGATACAAAATTCGGGCTGAGTTAGTACAACTCATCAGTGATTTTGTATAGCTCCAGTATTGTTTTCAATGCAATTGCTTTCCCTTTGGCTAGAAGGAGGCAGGGGGCAGATAGCCTTTTCTGGATCACCTGCTGAAGAACAGTTTGTACGGTTACTTGTACATCACCTGAACTCTCTATCAGCAGTGTGTTGAGGTGTGTGATTTGGGTTGTGGTGGTGAAGGTTTGAAGCTGGGAATCTTCTCCGCCTGCACTGAATTTGGACACATCTGGCAATAACATAACTCTGCAGGACTTAGCCTGACTTTGTTATTCTGTGAAGGCATATTCCACAGTTCTTTAGTGTTCTGATGATAACATCCTCTGAATGAGCAGGACTTCCCGTATGAAGTTTAACAACTCCATAACGCATGTGAACAAAGGGACCACAAAAAAGCTGCGAGGACAGCTTTAATTCCAGTGTTTGTTAATTTTGAGTGCTTGACTCTGCAGCTTTAGTGTTCTTTTAGTGTATGCCTTCATATATAAACACTTTATAGATGAATTAAACAAAATTAAATTACAGCATGATTTACATTTCAATTATGGCAGTTCTTCAGCATTGTTTGAATTTTGCCCATTGGTCCAAATAACTGCAGTTTCTCTGTTTGTCTGTCTGTCTTCCTATTTTTGCCTTCTTGATCTCTTTAAAATGCTCTGCTGTAAAATATAGTCTGTAGCAGGGGAAACAGAAAGAAAGAGGCAGATTTTCTGCTGACTTTCCAGATAATGCATTAGTTACCTGAACTAAGACATGACTTTTTACGTAAAGCATGTGGAAAAAAGAGAAATGACAGTAAGTGCATTTGTGACAGTTGTTACGCTGGCTGTCCTAAGGGCCACAAACAATCAGAAAGCTCTGACCCTGCACCTGCACTGATGCTGGCTGATCCCTGTGTTTGTTAAAGCAGCAGATAGGTTTGTATACAGGCTCAGGATTTCAGTACTGTAGTCACCATAGCGGTATGTAACCAGAGTAGGCTTATACCACACAGGTCCACTGAAATTAAGTGTGACGAAATAAATTCACCTTGCTATGAGAACCACTGCTGGGTTATTCAGTATAGATGTGTTTTTTTGAGCTAGTGATGAGTGACTGTAGAGCTCTTTATCCTGTTACCAGTATCCAGAGATGCACAGTTCCCAATCTTAAGAATATGGTCTTTAAAGAATTTATAAAACAGTATGATATGAAAAAGGTAAACATGAGAGCAGTCATACCAGATGAGAAAAAAAAAATCCCAGATGCTAGGGGGAGAGCACACAACTAGAGAAAATGTAAGAGTGTACACAAGTATTCAGGCTATAGAAAGGCAATATTGCAGAGTAACAGAGTCTCTGCCAAAGACAAAGTTTGCCTTTTGCTTTTAATGGCCTTCTCTCAAAGAACCAGCAGTATGATACGATGTTAGCCTGTGTTCTCAACTAAATGTCCAATTACATCTTCTGACGTTTCCTTTTCTCAAATGATCCTCCTTGAATTTATACATCTTATGAAGGAATCTCTTCGGGCATTTTGTAATTCAATAGTTAAACCAAGCTTCATACTACCAAAAATATTCCTTTTATATGTTGATCCTGTAGCTATTTACCTTCTTTGCTCTCAGTTTTCTGATGGGTTTGTGTCAGTTATAAAGGAATCTGTTGCAAAGAACTGCCTGATAATAAAAAACCCCCCAACTGCAGTAGAGACTTAAAAATCAGTCAGAAATATCCACTCACTCCAAGGCTGTCAGTACAAGTTGAACAAATTCAGAGCAATGAGTAATATTTAGAGAATTTAGCTGCCAAATTTTAAGAGGTCTCTGCTGATCATTTAAAACTCTGCTGAGTTTTAAACTTGACAAAATTTAGATGGTAAGGTTGGCAAGAGGCACAGACCTGCTGCAGGTGACTCTCTGTCAAGGTTAGAATCTCTCCTACAAAGCCTGAAGGTATGAAAGCTCTTTAACAGACCATCCGTAGAAAATTGTCTATATGACAAAACAAAGTATTTTCCTCCATCTTTTGAGAACCATCCAAACTCTTTTATCTCTCTGTCTCTCTCCTAAGCTCTCTTCCTTACCCGTAACAACCATGCTTAGGCAAACCTATAGCACAGAAAATTATAGTGAGTAGTCAGACGCTGTTTTTGGGGGGGAGGAGGGAACACAGAACCCTGATAATGAGACCTGATAAGGGAATATGCTAGGCAGTCTTAATGACAGTCATATCTTCTTACACTGCATATAGTTCCATGTTTTAGGCTTGGGCACTATCTGGGCATTTATTATTATTATTTAATTCAATATTCTGTTCAGAATCTGCTTCTCAAAGTTCTACAAATCAGTTCTGCTGTGAAAATCAAAAATGGTTATCTAGACTCCTAAACCCATATCTAGGCAATTAAATTGTTGGCTTAATCACCTGTTATTGGTTTAAACAGTATCTGCTGGTAGTCGTAGTTTTAAAAAATGAAACTATTTGTTTAAGTGCCTAAGCAAGAATTTAGGAGTCAAATTTTGGCCATAAATTTAAAAATTTTGACTCCAGTATCATAGCCTTTTTTGTGAACGGCTTATCGAAAATGAACCCTGTTAAACTTGAAGGTGTTTTTGTTTTTATTTTCCTTACTAGGGACCAAACCTGATCATTTGTTACGTGAGCATAAATCTGATGAATATTTGACTTCAGAAGAGTGGTTGCAGAAGTATGGCTTGAAAGCTCGGAAGCTGACGCTGTATGATGCGCTTGCTGATTGTAGTTTTCGCCATGCGGATGGGATTGTTGACATAAAAAGTAAACCAGAGGATGAATCTTCACAAACTGATGCAGTGAGTATTGTTAATTTTCCCTTACGTCCTGTGGGTTATTGTTTATTTTTTGGTTTAAAACTTGAAATGTTGATTGATAGCTCAATTTATGGTAAAGTATATGGTTTATTTGTTATGTGGGTTTATGTTAAAACCAGTTTATTAGTGGGATGGGACAAAAATGGTCATAAATAAGATTTCTTCAAAGGGCTGTCTATTTGAAAATGACTGCCCCTGCCTTCCTGGTCTGCATATGGTCTGGAAGGAGGAATTAGGGCTGGCTTCAGCAATGCCTCATTATTCTACATTTTTACATGGTGTAGGGCAAAGAATGCTTGTCATCTTCTTTTCTCCTTAGAAGGGTAGGTCCCAGCTACCCCAGGGTTTTTTGGTCCTTAGACAAATTTGGATTCATTTGTCTTCTGTTTGTTTTTCTCTGGCTCTACTACTATGCTATTCACTATACTTCTGTTCTTGTTAGCTACCAGTATGGAAACAGTTTCTATGGACCTTCGCTAGGAGCAAATTCTGTGGCCACTCTATGCTGTGTCCATTTCTGCAGCTGTTCATTTGCAACAAGCATGTACCTGTGAAGTTTATTTTCCAGCTATTATAGCATACTGCAAAGGGTATATTTTGAAACATGCAACCTGTATTTCTTTGCTGTAGGAGACAAAGAGGAAGATAATTCATGCAAAATACTGTGACAAGTTTGTACACACCTTCTGGAAAGATGGTTCTGTAGTTCATGTACATGTAACTACAGAAAAGTACAAGCAGTATGAAGAGAAAATGAGGACTGCGCTCAGACAAGTGGAAGGAAGGTTAGTTGTCTGTCACATACATTCAGTTTGTGTTATTTTACATTGACGCTGAAAAGTTTCATTTACTGCCATAATAAATTGAAGTGGCTGGTAAACTGCCAGTAGCAGTATTAAGGCAGGAATCCGTTTTTAGATCAGAATTCTGATGTAAAGTATAGGACTTCTTCGTAGCCATATAAAATAAACTGATAAACAAATTGGGTATCTTTTATTCTCCTGCTGCATCAGAAAAATGAAAGTCATTCTGCGCACTACTGAAATACTGCTGAAGTTACAAAAAGCACTGGAACACAAGGTGCCAGAGAGCTTATAGAATCATCAGTAAAACTTGGTAGACACTCATTCTGCGTACCTAAGAATCTCTTGTGATACCTTTGAAAGGGAAAACAGATGACTGTAGTTTCCACTTGCTTGCACTTTAAGAGCATATTACACCAGCCTTGAGGTAGGTTTCCTTGTAGGTGGGCCATCTGGAAATTGCTCCTTTTCAGTGACATTCTTCCCTGAAAAGTTGGAACAAAGGTTAAATACGTGCTATTGTCATGTGAGGAGCAGAAGCTCCCATAAGGAGGAGCAGGAAATTGCCCAAAGGGAGCGCTTGTTTGGTAGCCAGAGGAGCTTGGATGTGTTATTTATAATGCAAAGTGTTCACAAGGATAGATTTTTTTCCTAAATTGCTAATAGGGCTACCATTATCTGAAATTAGAAAATCTCTCCCCTGAAATATTTGTAGAACAATTAAGGATGACACATAATTTCAAACCATGAAACCATGAACAGTTAGGCTATTCTGCTGATCAGGAGCAGATGTCTGCTGCTGAGCTAGTCATCTAAATTATGACCACACTGCTAAATGAAAGGGGTCCAGGGATTTATGCCTGGCTCTGATACCAAGTAGCATAGATTGGCTTGTGGCCAAACTGATAATGGTTATCTGCCTTTGTTGCGATTTTGTGTCAGAGAGAAAAAATATGAACAGTCTAAATCAGAGGCAGGGTATAAAGCTAACTATTAAGAAATATTTATCACCAGGGGTTCAGTGCTCAAGCTGGCTGCATGGTTTTTGTTTCTATAGCAGTATAGACATACTCACAGATTCTATAGGAAGTCTGCACAAAAATAGGCAATTCTAGGATAGGACTCATCTATCCTACAGATGCCCCCAAATAGATAAAATGTATTATATCTTAGAAATGACCATTTCTCTTGCTCTCTGCAAAAGGAGAGTCTTTCCCTGAGCAGCTGCAGTGTGTATATCTCCTTGAATATTATAGATTCAAGGAATCCTAGCTTTTATATCTACCTTAGGAAGAGAAAGAAACTTTCAAAACAGATATCCTAGAGCCAAAAGAAAGAATAAACAATGCCCTTTGTTTTGTATATTAGGGCAATGAGATGTCTCATTGAACAAAGCAGGACGTGAACTTTCTTTTATAATTTTATTGCTGCTTCTCTATGAAAACTGTAATTGCCTGAATATATTTAGCAAGGCTGAATAGAATTTTGTTACTCCTTTACATCTTTGCTGTATATTTACGATAATATTTACATACCGTGAGAACAAAATTTGAGGTAAAGGGTTTTGGTGAATTTATATTTTTGAAATGCAAAGCCATGATTATGGTGTTGCTGTTTTAAATGGCTCATCTCATTGTTACAAAATCTTGGTGGACTTCATCAAACACTTTAGGGGAATAACTAATGGTATAATGTCTGTCAGTAGCAAACATAATTCGATCCTTTCAGTTTCTCTGATATCATTTTTTTTAACCTCCCTGGAGAAGGTTACAATTTTTCCCAAGGCCATTATATTCTGCCTGCTAACTGCGTATGCTTCAGAGTAGACAAGCAGTTTATGACTCTCAGGGGAAATTAGATGTGAAACAGTTGCAGCCGTTACTGAAGAAATGTTCTTGTACACAACTGTATGTATGCACGTATATAACTGGCAGGCATGCTTAAATTCTGTTTAAAATGTAAACCTAAGTCTGTGTTTAAGGCCCCAGGCCTGCAAGGCATTTAAGCATCTGTGTTACATTAAGACTCTTTAAAGTGCTTAAGTTCCTTGCAGAATAGGTTCTCAAGTGATTTCCTGAGTAGGGAGGGATATTATCGTATGCTTATGTGATTTCTTGAGTTCAGCTTGGAGAACAAGTCACAGGGGCAATAGGAATTATTCCTTCCTCATGGGAATAGCCAGCTCAAAGTATCTGATAATTGACATAAAGTTTCTGTATAGCTTTCTGTTTCATCTGTCTCCAAATTCTCACTGAAACAGGAAAATAAGAGACTTGCAGTGTTACGTAGTGACAGACTAAGATTTCAGATCAGTGTACTGCTTATGACAGTGACCGGTAACAGATGCTTAGGGAAAGGGAATAAGAAATGCAGCAAAAAAAGATTGTGATACACAGTGCTCCAAGGATCTTATATGTCAAAACCTGACTTGTTTTGTTTTCCCCAGGATTAAGTGGCTTCAGCAAGGAAGCAGAGGGCTCTTTGGAAATGTGTTTGAAGATGATATCTATATTCTTATTGATACATCTCAGTCCATGAAGGACAAGTTGTCATTGGTGAAGGAGAAAATATTTCAGCTCATACAGGTTTGAGAAAGCGATGATTCTGAAGACTGAGAAGTATTTTAGAATAGGCTGACCCTTTTTTTGGATGATTGTTACTGTAATTCTTGAAATGTTTTGAAAATACTTTACCAAAAATATGAGCTTTATAAAAATATTTTCATTTCATTTTTCAGTTAAAAATGTCTGTTTGTGTATTCTTCACATGTGGTTTTATTCTCTTTTCCTCTCGTTCCATACAAATATGTGAAAAAAATTGTGCAGAAAATGCTGAAAATTAAAATAGCTTAGGTATCTCCTCTGTACCTCCAGCTACCTCCCTCAAAAAAAGCAAAAAAAAAAAAAAAGAAAAGAAAAGAAAAGAAAAAGCCCAATGCAATGCAATGAAACATCTTTTGGCATGCTCATTTTTATTTTCAAGCAGTGTCATCCAATTCCACTGGCATGTTGTGATTTGTAATGTTCTAGATTCAGTGGCATACTTTTAACAGTAGAGGGTGTGGAGCATTTTGAGCTTGCTTGCATCTTACAAAGTGACTCAGAACTTTGCAAAATGACTTGCAAAGTGCAGAGGTGACTCATAAGCAGCAAGTAGTGGGAAACCCACCTAGGACGGGATTTGTTTCTCCTAATTTTAGACATCTACAGTGATGTCATCTAAGGTTACCTTACAGTTGTGAGAAACAGGCACTGTTAGAACATAATTTGTCTTGTCCGTTTTAGACCTGGAATGAGCAACTGGCAAACGTTCCATCGGTCTGGCATTGATAGCAATCATTAGTTGGGCTAAAAAATTTAAAATTATAGCAGAATTTTTTGAACTAAGTGTGTAAGGGATAGGACACAGTAAGATGTGGTACTCTAGGTGGATCAGCACTAGAAGAAGATTAAATACTGCGCTAGAAGGTTTCACAGGCAGCTGCACAGAAATGATGATAGTAAGGAGTCAAAGATTCCAGGATCTGAAAGTTTATACTAGCTTGCACAAAACTTTCAGTCCCTTACAACACAACTTCTGTCCAAAAACAACTTCAGCACATTCTTAACTCTCCCTTAGCTGTCCTGATTCTTCCCCTTGTTCTCCTGCTCTAAATGATGTCTTATTTTGATTCTCCTTTCGATTTCCTTTGTTAAAGTCGTAATCTCTTCCTTATCCTAATGTTCATATCCAGTCTTCTCTTTCTGTTTCTTGCCCTCCTAGACATTTGCTGCTCAGGTAGTTTAAGTTTAGCAATATGAGTAAATGGAGACTTATACTGGGAACTTCAAAGCGTCTTAATAATTGCAGGCAGAATCAGCCCCATCTCTCTCCCTGTGTCTCTCTGTATGCTGTAACTGAATACTACAATAATTTATTGTAACCATATAATCAACTATATGTGAATTAAGACAACTCTAACTAGTCAGTAGTTGAGAATACAAGTATTTATGTTTTTACTACTGAGTAAAATTCAGATGTTGTCTCTTCCAGGAACAACTGAGACACAAAAAGAGATTTAACTTTGTGAAATTCAGTGCTCGAGCAGTGGCATGGCAAGAGAAACTAGCTGAAGTTAATGAGGAGAATTTGCAAGATGCTTGGCTTTGGATAAAAGGGCTTGAGGTAACACAGAAATTAATTAGCAAGAAGCATATTTGTACAAAGTTTTATTTTTGACTTCTTTCTGTATGGTGGGGATTTTTTTCAGATTGACTAAGTATTTGACTTGAGTATGCTGAAAATACAGAGGTTGCATAGAGTTTAGTAGATCAGAGTAAAAAGTATCATCTGTGCCATGTATTATTTTTTAACAGTGGGTGTGTTTATAAGTTCATGTTAATTCCACTCACAGCTTGATATTTTAATAGCCACAAGGCAAGCATCGACCAGTTTGATTTCTTTAGGAGTCGTGACAGTGCTGTGCTTGACCTTGTGTTTAAATTTGTCATTCTTGCTGTATCAAAGCTGCGTGGACCAGGGGTGTTCTGGGCAGACGTACAGCCCACAGGTGGTTTAGGAAACAGTCAGTTTGGCAGCTCCCAGCTGGTGTCAGCGAGCTGCAGGAGCTCTTCCCTTTTTGTGCGCAGCTGACTTTAAACTTCCACAGCAGGCACCTGACTTTAAACTTCTATAGGAACATGAGAGCGGCCATACTGAGTGAGACCAGACACCTGCCTTTACCCAATATTCTCTCTCTGACAGCGGCCAAAAGCTGAAGATTTTTCCCTGAAACACAGTGGAAGCGTTTGTAGTCAGCGTAGTCACATGCTAGACTGACTGTAAGCGCTAGCAGCTTAGGACCAGTAAATGTGTCAAATGTGGACAGCAGCGTCACCAGCATGGGACTGAAAATCAGTCATGCAACAGTATATATATATGTCCCATGTTATATTTGCTAACAGAAAAAACGTTATGTTCATATAATAGAACTCCTCAGCATTGTGACTGTACTTCCTCAGGTGTAATGAAACTCCTGGGGATGAGGGACCTGGAGAAGATGCATAATACCTCTGAGGCCGAAAAGCAAGATAGATAACCCATCACGTTCAGAAAATGATAATAGACAAATGCACAGAGAAAGTGAGCAGTTAGTGAATACTTATAAATGGGGTTAGTAAACTTAATTGCCCTGCCTCCCTTGAGACCCAGAGAATTGTCTCTGGTTAAGCCATACACATGCTACAACGTCATGCAGGTTTAATAATACCTGGAACTAGTTTAATTTGACACCGTTTTTGTACGTGCATTTGAGAACGGCCTTTTTCATCATTGTTCACTGACGCTGTGAACTGTTAAGTCTATAAATTTCCTTTCAAGTGTTCAGCTCTAGCTTTTTGAAAAGCACAGGGAATTGTACAAGAACAGTCTACTATTTTTTCAAGGATGTCGTCTGCTGCTGACCTTTTAGGCTGTTTAAAACGGCGCAGGCGTTAAGTCTGAGATCAGAAAGCTGGCTTGACAGTCAAGCTGAAATGAACAGCAGGTCATTCTGAATATTAATCAGAATAGATCCTTTGATCTCCTGTTATATGCTTGGGTCCCCAGAGATGTTGAATAGGGAAGTTGAGCTATAAATTTTAACTATTCCTTAAAAATCCTTTAGAGGTTGATAACATTTATATTTTGTGGGGTGATAGTGCCACATAACTGAGGCATGTCATGTTTGCTTACACACTACAAAAACAGTGGTGCACTTGTAACAGTAGCAACTGAGGAGTCTAAAATTAAGAAGCTTTACCACAAGGTACATAGTCATTCATTTCCCTCACATCATTAGCATCCACATTAGAATGTATCTTCCCATGATACAGTGGAAAAAGTTCAAAACCATGTACCATTATTGGAAAGGCCCAGGATGGCTAATTTAGACATAATTGAGGGTGACATGTGCTTAAAACTGTATGATGCTTACTAAAACATTAAGAATATTAGATATATTTAACACAAGAAATGGCTCGGGCTAGTTATTTATTATGAATGAGTACTGTTAGAGATTTTTTGTGGATAAGGAGATAGGAATATAAAGCATTTAAGCTTTCATCTTTCCTGGCACATAGACTCTTACAGAGCTATACAGTCACTCCTAGAGTATACCTCCTGTTTCACCTGATTTACTTTCTCTGCCATTTCTGATAGAACTATTTGGAAGAGGGACGAACTGGAAGAGGTTTTAACTAACACACTCAATAGGGCGGAAGTAATAATGCTCTCTCTTAACATATTTTGCATGTATGGGTCAATGTTAGTGATGATAAAAATATATTTATCTTCTGCAATGTGTTATTTATGTGGATCCTAAGTCTCTTCTCGCTTACACTACTACAATCCTCACTGTCCTCCAGAAAGGTACTCATGCATTATACTACCATAAAACAGATTTGTATCTTCTTAAGGATTGTTCTTGATCCCTATTCAGATCTAATACTAAGAATTAACAAAACATTTTTCCATATGAATAAAACCTCACCTCACCTTTCCCTTAAATTTGGCAGTTTTTGTATATTGAATGTTTGAAAGGTATAAATCTGATGATATAAATACTTGTAGTTTTTAGGCTCCTGTATGCTGTGAGTTCCCTTTCCATGAGTTTAGGAGTTGCATTAAGTCTGGAAGGAAAAAAGACAGATTCTGAACACTAAGTATGTGAATGACACAGGAAAAGTGTTAGCCTTACTCAGATAGAATTTCTAGAAGGCACAGTACTGCTACTTGTATTTTTATTGTTGTAGCTAATTTTCTTACTGAAAAACAATTTAATTATGTTTACATTGATGTGCTGAGGTATTAGATGGAAGATAGTTTGGAAATAAATTTAATCAGAAAACCAGTAAGTCCTTTTCCTATTTTTGAGAAACATCTTGAGCAACTCATTTGTGAGTCTGATTTATTTGATTAAGTAAAATACATGTGTTGAGTGAATGTGATGAGCTGGGAATCAAGAGCAGTAGTGGGAAAATATAATATAATTTACCCTTTATTGTATATCTTCCTATCTGTTTATGGTGTTTTAGTGATTGCTTTTCCTTCTACAGCTCGCATTTCTGTTGCTCAACACTTCACTTATATGTGGTGGCATAAGCACTGAATACCAGTTTGGTGCCAATATATGCTACTTTGACATTTGCTTTGATCTTCTGGTCATTTGATATCCAGTATTTCCCCTACTTTATTACTCAGTTAGGTTCTGTAATATTCCCTGAATCAGTACACTCTCATTATGAATTTAAGAATGGAGACAAAGAACTATTTAGTAGTTTTAACTGTTTCTTTGTCTACTTTTTTTTTGGTTGCCTAGGTTGGCAGTTCCACAAATACGCTCAAAGCTCTCCAGATTGCTCTTGCTGATACTGACACTCAAGCCATTTATCTTTTGACTGATGGAAGACCTGACCAGGTATTTCGGAAATAACAGAAAAGGCAGTAGTATGGTGCTGTGGTGATGGTATCAGAAGGCTGAAGCAAAGTGTAAGAGATGAATATCATACCTGCAGAGCTGAGTCTCTTGGAGGTTGTCATAATATTGATAAATTGTATCTCTAAAATGTGCTGTTTGTGAAGAAGTTTTGATGAGAAGTCTTCTCCCACTGTCCAACGTTTGATGTATGATAACTCGTGTAATTTCTAATTAGTTGCTTTAAGGATCCAGTAATTGATTCAAGTTGTATCTTAATGTCTAAGCTTAAGATTTTTGTTAGATAGAACTTATTCCTAACTTAGCAAAATTATTCTCATGAATTAAAAACTGAGAAATGACAAATGTCCCGTGGTATGGTTGTATTTAAATATTAAAACCTTACAACCTTGTGTGATGGCTTGAAAACCTAAAAAGAAAATGACTGGTAACGAAATAAACAGATTTGGGTTCAAGATTTTTTCCCATGTAGCACATTAGGCATATAAATAGATACCTTCTGTTCTGCTGCAGAGATTGCACAAGGGCTATGTCATGTCTGAGGAATAAGAGCCTAACTGTTGAATTAATTTACATTATTTTTGTCTAAATATGTTACCACTGACATCATGATAATCTCTCTCTGTATAATACAGAATTCCATGTTATGTTATTGAGTCAAATGTGATCTCGCATAGGTGCAGTTCTGGAGTAGCATCATTCTGGAGTTGTTTTGACTCTAATTTTAAGTGGCTAATGAAATCAAAAGTGTGCTGTTATTTCTGAAAGTTTTGTCACCATGACTTAAAATGTTTGTAGTTCATATTATTTCGTGTCATATAACACCAAGTAAAAACGGAAAAAAACCAGTTCTTGATCAGATGAAAATAAGTGGAATTAGGCTTTCAATTTGTAACATGTGGTGAAAAATAACCAGTGTTCTGTGAGTGGCATTTAAAAAATACTTTATTCATCCATGAATATTTAGCTTGGTTGTAATGGCAGGTGTGCACCAAAGTCTTGACTTTACTTAGGTAAATAGCTGTGTTGAAAGGCACATAAAATTAATTTTTTAAGCATATGCAATAAATCTGTGATTCAGAAAGCATCACAGACTTGCAGAAATAACTTCTTTATACTTTGATAAGGAAAAAAATGGTAAAGGCTTACTTTTCTTTTTGTTCTGTTTTTCTTGATCAAAACAAGAAGTAGCTCAGGAGTCAGGGTGGATTTATATGATTCAAAGTTATGTGACTAGCAAAGTGTAGTCCTGATTTCAATTAGCAGATGAAAAAGTTTGATTTACATTTTAAATCTTGTTTTAATTTTAGTTTCAATCTTAGTTACTTTCAAAAGAAAGGTTGATAGCTATCAGTCATTAAAACTTCTCAATTTACAATTGAATAAAATCTGTGCATTGTTTGACACTTACTTTTGCTAGCTAATAGCATATATCCATATTTAATTAAACAATAAGTTGGCTTAAAATACACTTATTCAGATTCTCCATTCTAATATTTTATTAAGTTAAAAATTAATGCATAGTTCATTTATTTTTACCTATTTAACAGCAGTTTTTCTTATGATTCATATTGCAGTTTATTTAGATGCAAAGTGAAAGTGACTAAAATTGCTTTCTGCTGTTAAGGAGTAACAAACAAATGTCTCAAAAATACCAACAGAAAGCTAAATTTATCAAGATTTGACTCAGGTTTCTGAACAATACAAATGTTATCAGAAGTTAGAGAACAGGACTGATAATTTCATGCTACGAGATCCCTCAAAAAAGACAGTAGATCTTTCCCACCTACATTTTATTTCTATATTAGAGGAAGAACACCGATTTTCCTACTTCCTCAGTCTCTATTTTTTTTCCTAGTGATGAATCAACTTATCATTAAACTAAACTAGTTGAATAAAAATTTCAATAATTTTTATCCAATTATATATCCCTAGTGATACTAAACATCAGTGTAGTAGTATCATTTCCCATAATTTAATACTTTCATTTCCTTTAAAATTTCAGAAACAACATATACTGATAATTTTATAATTTCGATTTTATTTTATTAGCGTATGTTGTGCCTCTAACACATTGTCAGCACTTCAAATTTAATTCAGAATGCTTTCATTTAATGTAATTATGAAATCTGTAATCCAGATAAAATACATGCTTTTAACTGAGCTATGTCTGTCTGGCTCTAAGCAGCAGTATGACTGCTGAAATTCTGTATAAATTCTCCACATTTTGATAAATATATTTTAAGTGCCACATGTTTAATATACATTTTTGTTTTTCAGCCCCCCCAAACAATTTTGACTGAAGTTCGGCTTCACCATAAGATTCCCATTCATACTGTGTCCTTCAACTGTGATGATACAGAAGCTAATAAATTTTTGCATGAACTAGCTACTGAAACAGGGGGGCGGTTTCATTATTACAACATTTATTTGACAGATCCTGAAGCTGCAGAGGTTATTCTTGTGAGTATTTCTAAATAAATATATTTGCTTCTTTGCGGTATTGAAGAGACCGCACGATTTGCATTACTGTAATTTCATATTACGATATATGATTTAGAAAACGGGTTAATTCTAGTCAAATATGAAGTGATATGAAAGCAATGGTTGTGCCATTTTTTAGTTATGGAATTTTATTAGATGACAACAAATAAGCCCAAATATTATGTAAAGTACATTTGTCGTGCTACTGTTGCTAAAAAAGAAGACAAACATGTAGGCCAAATTCAGCTCTGGAAGAAACACACATGATGTCTGTTGTCTCAGAAATAAGTTATTGTGTAAAACAAAACCATGATTTGTATCCTGTTAGTGAATGAGAGAACACAGATCTGGATTTTGCTAAAAATTTGCTCTGCAATAGCCACTGGGGAGAAATCTGTAATGGCTAAAGTTACTAGAATATTAGAGACCTGTCAAGTGTAACTAACGAGCTCAATCTAACAATCCCCAATAGGAAATTTCTGAATAAGGTAAAAGAAACACCCATTGAAAGCATATTCTTGTTTTTAATTAAAGTGAACACTCAGTTAATTAGTTCCACAAATTTTAGAAGTAGTGGTAGTGGAACAATGAGAGCAACTGGGAACAAGACAGCGGCAGAAAATTTAGAATACTGCAGAGATTAATTAAAAGAAGGAAGATATGAAAATACTTCAGCTCTGGCAATATGTCCAAGAATGCACTGGACAATTTAGATGACTCTGCTGATGTGGACTATGTGACTCTGGCACATGTTGGAAAGATGAGGACCAGAGTCTCTGTTGTCTGTGTCCAGAATTTGTGCCCTTTGGGGGTTGTAAAGGGATCTTTGGAATTTCCTTCCTGTTTCTGCCTGTGGTCCAAACGATTCTCGGTTTGTTCACTTCCAACACTTATTTAAAAAAAGACTGTGGTTTTTACTTCCGATTTTTCAAGGACAGGATGTGATACAGCTGTGATCTGTAGACTGATGGAACAATAATAGCTGACACGTACATATATTGTATTTTATTTATTTATGAGGTACTGACCTCATTATATTATTTAGGTATATAGCTGTTCATGTTGTAAGGCATTACTGGCTTGTTAGAGAATGCTAGTCTTTTTCCTAATAAGCAAGAATGGATTATATGATTGTCCTGTGTTGCTAAGTGTATTTTTATCTTGTTTTGCTGTCAGCTTGTTTGTACACACTGAAAGTGAACAAAACAAAGTTTGGCTTTGGAAGCAGGGAGACTACCTGAAGAAGTATACACAATCGTGTGGTTATCCTAACTGAATCGTTATTTAAAATTATTATCAGAACTTGGCGTAGTTTCAGGTCAGAAATGAAACATTTTAAGAGTAATTGTAGTAAGACATCTGATTTTCTCTTTGATAGAGTGAAGACATGCATCTTTTAAAAAGAGAGATTGAAAAGGGAGAAAGAGACCTAGCAAAAGTGAAGAACTTTCATGCTGAATGTCTGATGATGGATTGGTGTAAGGGAGAAAAAGATCCAGAGAATAAGTATGTCCTCATACTGCCATTCTGCTAATACATGGTAGAAGCTATCTGTTAAATTTCTCCTGCATTGTATTGCATTTTTAACCTCTGGCACTCTCCTCTTTTAAGAAATGCTGACATTTTTTTGAAAGACACAGTTACATTAATGGAAAAATAAATCTGGAAAAATATATTAATACTGTGATACTTTAAACTGAAACCAAATGATAGGTTCTCCCAAATATTAGGAATAGTTAAAGCAAAGAGGTGAAAATATTTTGAGATCTCCAGCACATGGTAGAGCTGCTCCCTCTGACCTAAGGAATTCATTAAAAATGATTGTCCTATTGGTAGGGATGGCCTGGAATGTCATGCCTAAATTGCGACTCATCAGAAGATGCTGTTTGAAACGGAAACTACATACAAACGTACCCATTTAAAAGATAGTTCCATTGACAAACATTATGAATAAAATTCAACTTACTTCTTTTCACATTTGTGATCTTACAGTGTATGTCTATACATTCATGCCATATTTAGCCCTACTTTTTATCAAAAGATACGTAATCTCATCATTAAAAGTATTTCCGTGTTCAGCAGCAGTTGACGAACTCATTGAAAGTCTTCACGGTGCAAGAATGGAAGCAGAGGTCCTTCCGCAGCATAATGGAGGCAGGCTCCTGGGCCACTGTAGAGAAGTTTTCTACGTGGCTGTTTGTGCTGAATTTCTGTCTGGGGAACAGAGACAGACCTAGACTCAAACATGTTGTTATTTGTAATCCCTACAGGATCATTGCATTAGTAAAAAGGAGGGAATAACTTTCCATGTTGCCTGATTTATCGTTCCCTAATAGTACAAAGACACAGATAAACCAGGGGACTTAGATTCCTGTGTTAAAAAACTGAATAAAAGCAGTAAGTTAAAGTAAATATGCTAACAATAAAACAAATACATTAAATAAGTAGAACAATTTTTAAGTGGAGTGTCCTGTTGAATGATTTAATATCTGTGGAAGGGAAGGTAGATTGCCCAGTATAAAAATGTACAAAAGTACTTATTTCAAATTTGTTTATTTATTTTTTGTTAATACTGGGACATATATATATGTCACTTAATTTCATGACTGATGGTCGTTTTACTCTTTCCCCCAGAATTCAAAGCAACTATTGCAGAACGTTCTGACCTCATTAAAAATATACATCAGGGTGTTGCCTTAAACCCAATGAACAACTTTTTAAGTGGACTAAATAACAACTTTTAAATTGTTTAAAAACTAACAATATTTTAACCTCCTTTGATGACCCATTTGAAATGCAGACTCAGATAATACAGCAAATATTTGGCACTTGAGGAACCACTTGAAAGGAGTATTTAAATTATTGGAACACTTCAGTGTTTGTAAGCATTTTTTTAACCAACGATACCATATTTTTGAAGGTCATTTTTTTGCTTGTTTTTTTGTTTTTGTCACTTAAAAGCAGTAATCACAAGCAGATACTTGCTATGTCTTCTGTAACCACACGTGTTCAGGAGTTGAGTACTACGCTTAGCAGTAGGCCATGCTGTGCTTCAGAAGAGCCATCACCGACTGCACATCGGTGCACAGTAGGTGCCTGGCAAACAACTGGCGACAGTCCAGCCCAAAGGAAGAAAGCACTGTATGCAGGTAAGAATCTAAAATGAACTGTAGTTGTTAGTAGAATTTATTCACTAACTTTAAAAGATTGTGTTAAAGCATCCCTTGTTGTGGGAGCAAGGGAGGCTTTTGACTGTATTAAAACCCATCTTCCTGAAATTCTAACTTACTTTTAATCGTTTTTGCTTCTCACCTGTCTCACTCACGTGACACAGACTGACAAATGTCTGCTTGTTTATCCTTTGTCACATGCCCTGCAGTTGAAAGATGGAACTGTTTTGACAGAAATGTTTTAAAACCCCTGTAAGCAGTTTGTTAACAGTAGATACTTGACTCATTTCTTTTTAATCTAAATAAGTACCTCATTGGTGAGAATGAATGGCTGTTCTGTGTTTCATTAGTTACAGCATTAATTGCCCTCGTATTTTTCCTTACTACAAGTAGTACACTAAGTTTCTCTTTGGAGCATCCTGTGGATGCAATCTGAAACCAAAGTTCACCTGACTGATGTGAAAAAAGTCTCCACTCTTGAGGGAGTACAGACTGCAGATTAGCACTGAAGTGATATTATCATTGATGTCTCGTGCAGGCAGTCCCTTAAAAATTGGGACTGGACACTAAAGAAGAATTTAGTTTTCAAAAAACCTTGGCATGTCTTTGACTAATAAGTTAGCTGTTCCTTTCTTTCCCTTTCAACACCTACAGAGCAAACAAAGACGAGTCTGTTGAGAATCCTGAGCCGTAGCATGAAATCTGGGGAAGAAAGCCCAGAGGAAAGAATATCTCCTGAAAAAAGGGGGTTTTATGTCAGAAAGAGTGTGAAATCTGTAACCATTTTCAAAGGCAAGTTAACACAACAGGAAGCTGGGAGTGGGACACATGATAACATTTCTCCTAAAAGGCTTGAAATTAGTGGTGCCTCTTTTGGGACAAAACTGTGCAAACCTGTAGTAAAGAGGCCTGGAACTCAGCAGAGATAGAGAGGGCTAGACACACGGGAAGGTATGTATGGTAACAAGGTCCTTGCTGCTGCCACCAGACTCCTTGCTCCAGTACCCAAACCAGTTAGTTTGAGAACAGCTTATTTATGTCCACAGTGTGCTGGAGTTGTGATACAGCTATGCCTAAGACTGCAGAAAGGAGACTGAATCATAGTTGCTTCTTATCAACAGAGTGTATAACCTGTTGTGATGCAGTAGTATGTTGTAATTGTTAGTTCTTAATTCTGCGGTTCCAACATAAAATGAGGTTGCATTTCATTAATGTGCTTAGACTTGCTAAAAACATGCTCACTGGGAAGGATGAGTGTGCAGAGACAAAAGTATTTCCGATGGGACTTGGATATATGTCCAGATAGTTTTTATTTCTCTCAGCGATTAATGCAACTCTAAACTTTATCAATTTGTGCTATTAGTTCTTCTAAAACCTCACCTATATTTAAAGATGTTTGATGTTGTTTTAACATTTCGATGTTGTCTTTTTAGTTCTTTAGATACCTTTTGAGTATCTAAAGATACTCAGGTTTTCACTCAGATACACTAGGTTTTCCTAGTGGTATACCTTAAATTAGCCACTCCTAGCCATGTCCCTAGTGATACCACGTGATATTATATCTTGAATTTGGGACTAGTCTTTCTTTTGGTTTATAGGAAATAAATAAATAAAAAGTTCAAAGGTCTTTTCTGAAAAATTAAATGATTCTTTATCTACTTTATAAATTTCTTTGTTAATTAATTAGATATCATGAGGGATATAGTAACTGTTAATATCGATCAAGCACCAAGAAAGAAACACAGGAAACATAATTCTTATTAATAAATTTAGCCACTAAAATGGGCATTATTGTACAGCCCTTGTGACACTGCTAGTAGGCTAAAATAAAAAGTTGATGCTATTACTCTGTCAGCGTAAGTGTGTGTTCATTTTTTTGCACAAAAGCCATGACGTAATGAAATGCAAATGTTTTTTCCCAGATCCGAAAATGCAGAAAGATGCGAAAAGAACATGTAAAAGGTATGTGTGTGCATTTATAGATACATCAGAAAGATAGTTTATATTTTTCTTGAGTCATTTTGAACTGCTCAAATACATTTCTACCTCATACCACATCTGACAGTCTCTTTTCTCTAGTTCTGTAGATATCTCTTCGGCTCGTTGGTTAAAGACCCATGGCTTGGTTGCCAGGCGACTCACCATCATGGATGCCTTAGCTCCAACAGCTGTCCCTCATGGTACTAAATACATCCCAGCTCTGGACAAGCATGTGGGTTCTAAAGTATTTGATGAGGTAAAGCTCTTACGCTGTTTCAGAGCACGTATAAAACTTGGCATTGTTTTCAAAAGGATTTTGTTACTCATTTCTACAAGTGTCCTAACTGCATTCTCTGACGTTCACTACGATGTGCACTGAATGTATAGTACATATCTGAAAGTGCATTCGTGCATCAGGAGAAGACGAAGCTCATAGTTAATAGTATTTCTTACCAAGTGGAGAAATTACAAGTTTTAGAGCTGTTTATTTTAATTTTGTAGTTGCCAGTTGATGGCAGTGTGCAGCCATCAGGTGCTCAGAAATTTCTTGTGGGCCACAGCCGCTACTAATGTTTATTAATTTACTGAAGTTCTATATTTTAGGCTCATTAAGTCATGCAGAAAATTGTGCAGGCTTTTGTGGATTGCTACATTCTCAGGGCTTACCTCTGTCCTTCTAAAGACCTCTTGAAACGGATTGGAATTCAGTAATTAAAATATGATATTGATAGTGTCGAGCATTGTGAGATTCTGGAATTGAACAATTCATGATGAATTGTGTGCCAAGGAAGCTGCAATTGTCATTCCCTCTAAAGGAAGTCCATTTTGTGGCAAGTTTCTCTAAATTAATTCTTCTTATATGATGCATTCTATGAAAGTCCTATGAACGTGCTGCAGTTCTTTTAAACTGATAACAGCTGTTTCTCTAAATAATGTTGAAATAAAAAGCTAAACAGGATCTGTTTAAATAATAATGGTTAAGCAAGAGGTTTTGGAATGGGATGTGATACAGAGCTAAGTAAAATATTTATAGCAAATGTACAAATACGCATTTTAAAGTTTTCATATTTGCTTATTACATTTAGGAATGGGAATTTTTGCCGTAGTATACAGGTTTTTGAAGCAAAACCTTCTGTGTTTTAGTCAAACCAAGTCAAATCCAGATCTTTAAGTATTTTTTTGAAGTGGAGAGGTAATAGTTTTAAAGATGACTTTTTGTACCAAGAACATTCAAAATATACGTTTTCACATTTCAGATGTAAAACAGCCATTTTTGGAAAAATTTAAAATATTCAGGGACTGCAAAATTACAAGAAACTATCTATTTAAAGCAAAATGTCAAACAAAAACCACTCTCTTACAGAGCTCTTACACAGCTCTTGAGGATTGATTTCTGAGCAGTCATTTCTTTCCCCTGTCTTTTTCTGGACGCATGTACTAAGTAGTGCTCTTTCTTCCACCTTTCTAAACGAACAGACTCCTTTGTATCCCTTCCAGAGAATTCTGAGCTGCTTTTGAACTACTGCTTAAACAAACAGTAGTCTATAAAATGTAAGTCTTTGAAAGCAAGCAAAGCTACCATTCAACAAGTGCTATGTTAGAGGTATTTCTAAAAGTAGTTTGTGGGAGTGCACCTTAGCCTAATTTAGGGCTGAATAAGTTCATTAATTTCAGGATGCTGTACAGAATCTGTATAGCTGCTGTACAGAATCTAAACAGTTATCGGTGGGCTTTTTTTAGTTCAGAGATAAAAGCACTTACAAAATAATATATCTATTTTACCACTTTTTCATACCTGGATAACCCTCATTAATGGCACTGAAAGCTCTCAATTTCTAGGGCAGTGGGGAATTACTGTTCTATCTGTAGAGGCATGGATTTTTCTGTATCTGAAGCAGGATATAGAAAGGAAAAATAAAGTTTGGGATTGCAAACAAAGTGGAACCAGTAGGTTTTACTTTATTGGTTATGGTAAGCATTCTCCTTCAAGCTTCATGCTAGCAAATGAAGGAAAAGCAGAGAACAGGTTCTGAGACTAACCGGAAAGCTTGAACAGGGCTCATAAGCAGATTAATTAAGAATCTTTGTTATTCCAATACTTTGGACGACTTCACTGAGGGTAATAAATGTAGAGATGTATTTGCGTTCTTTCTCCCGAGATCTTAGTTTTCTTAGTGGGGAATACAGACATGCTGCTTTGTGTTTTCTGGGGACGGTAGAATTTTTACTTTCAGCCTTTGCTAGCAGTGATGATGGACTAACTGTGAGCCGTTTTCTCACCTTGGAGATGAGGCAAGCAAAAGGTTTCCATGACAACTCTTCATTAACCCGGCGCCAACCTGTGTTTTCAATTCTGTGTGATCTGTCAGTTTCACATGAGTTATTTCAAAGACATTAATTCATTAAACTACCCATCAGTTTCATGTCCAGAAAAAAATTTCCTTCGGGGGCTTATTGAAGCTATAGCAGTGGTAGTTTTGGAGAAAACCTTCCGTATAGAACCTTCTGAGCATCTCTTTCGCAGATTGTGGCATCTTTAGTACAGCCTCGCAGGTCATGGATTTTTGCCTTCAGTGATTTGCTCAGATGAATCAAATGCAGATTCAGTTCAACCAAAACACCTGGTTCAGTCTAAAATAAGACATATATTTCTAGGGTTACTGGGTTTTGGTTTTGTCTTTAAAACTTTTGCAATTGTGTTTCTGAAATAAACTCTTATTTTGAAACAAAGCATTCATTTGATATGAAAGTTTAAGTATTTAATTTATAAAGGGCCAAAACATTTTGACATTCAAAAAATTTCCTTGTGTTTTCTTTCAGTTGAATCTATTTCTCAAATTTAACTTGACTTTATGAGCAGTTTTCATCATTCCCAGATCACGGATAATGTTTATAAGTTTCATATTTGCTAAGAACACATTCTGCTCTAGTTTTGTTCTTCAGTATTGTAATAACGTGTCTATGTTTGCCTGCCCTTCATATTCTATTTAGAGCGTTTTAAAAACTGTATTAAATACTCGTTTAGCACATGATGCTGTTTGTACTTGGAGTTGCTGTGGGAGTTTGTAAGGGAATCCATTCTGTAGGAGAGAGCTTCTACATGGCAAAACACTGCTGACCTTTTATACTTTTGGTTTGAATACTGTAACAGCCAACAATGATGGCTTCGTGGAATTGGATGAGAGGTGCTCTTAGATCCTTGACACTGAGCTTTCAAACTCCACTTTTCTCTAAAGTCATACTTCACTGTCATATTCCCATTAACTTTAGCTTCTGAGTGATCTTAAAATTAATCTAATATGTAGCTATGACATAGTCTGACACTGAAGTGACATAGATTCATAAATAAGAGTGAAGATATCCTCAGAAAGAGCGGTCTGCGACTTCATGACCATCTGCAGATAGGGAGTAGATAGTCACGCCACTGCTCCTGAAAAATGATAATGCAGAAGTAATTGGGAATCCAGCTAGGCTGTGATGATTTGAACACAAATAAAACATCACTGAATAGTGCCCTCAGTTAAAGAAATCTGTTGCTTCATTTTCTGATTGCTTGCTTTATCTCACCCACACGAGTTTCAGTTTTATGCAAATTGAAGTTTATCCATCTTTTTGTCATCCACATCCTGATCTCAGACAGACATTTGGAGAAGCTTCACGTTCCACTGTATGTATTGAGAAGTGTTTTGGGGAGAGTAACATGAATGTTCTGGTGCTTCTCCATATCCTTTTTGGATTTTTTCTCTTGATAATCTTCATCAGAACATTGATTATATAAATAACTTTTTATAGAGCAACTGCTGACTAATTTAATAGGCTGAAGAATGGTGGGACTTTGGATTGGAAGATGGGAAGGCCTCTTTCCTCTTCTTTGCCTCCTTTTCCCCCTTTCCTCTACCTTTTGAAGATCTAAGGATAAGTGTATGGCTTCCTGCTGTTTGGTTAGATGCTTTGTTGGAGGCTTTGAAAGATACTGATGTTCCTGATTCTGTCCAGCCTGGTTAGGTTCCTAAGCCTTATTGCAATCAGTTAAAACTGGTTTCAGTGAGCGATAGCCACCTTGTTCTTGTTGGTGATCGGTGTGATAGTCAAAAATATCTCTCTGCATCTTTAGTACTCTAATTCCTTTGAAAATATGGTCTTCCGGAAGACCGTATTTTACTTACTTAAATGCTAGAATTAGATGCTAATAAATATAAGAAAGTGTTATTTTAAAGTAGTACATTTTGGAATAGGGTCATTATCTACATTTTGGAATAGGGTCATTATCTAGACATGCTTGTGTCCCTTCTCACCTAGCTTTTCATTATTAAAGTGACATTTTGGAGAGTAGTGATTTAGTTAGAATTAACTAGTAATCAATAATCTGCATTTGCCTTGCCTTAAAACCATTGATTTGTGTAAAGGGATCATATCGTTTTAGAAGATTTTATTAACAGTCTGAAAATTATGTCTTAATTCTGACGTTCCTTATTGCTGACCAAAGATCACTTCCTTGGGGTGCTCACAGATTTCTTACTGCAGCCTTTCTTTTCTTTCCTCATTCCTTTCCTTGCTGCCTGTTCAAATCTTTGGATATGGAGTCATGGGCTATCTGTTACTCTGGTGGAGGAAATGTTGTATGATAAATGAAGTCTTTCTTTTTTTGATTGTAGATTTTACCATTGGCCCATGTTAGCAACGACAAGAAGCAGATCACACTAATTAATCCTCAGGCAGTGAATCTTGATGCTTATAAAGAGAAACTGGAACAAGCTATTAAATCCTATGAAAGGCAAGTCTTCTAATCAGAAATTGACCATGTTTACAGTCTAGATCCAGATTTTTCTGATGCGTTGGGTACTTGCTCATGCATACTCTGCCCGTACTGGTAATTCCACTCTTTGACACACTTTAATCAAGCGTTAAGCTGTAGGAGAAAGGTTTGGTTCCTCAAAAAAATGCAGAACAAAAAGCCAGTGAATAGCCAAGGAGGTCAGAAATATTCTATTGCTCATATTATGTTTTTTCAATAACAAAACAGCATTTTGTTTTCTTTCTGAGAATAAACGTGAAAGCAATCTTCCTTGGGGAGGTACCCCCAAAACATACAATAGTAGCGCGACTTTAACCTACAATTAAGCTTCTAAAAGCATAGACTGATATTTTAAAAAGTGGCCTTCTTTTTGCTGTGAGGTGCTTAGCACCCACCTGTGGGTGCAGGAGTATAACTAAGGCACCTATAAGATACTGACCATTTTTAATATTTTTTTTTGAGAGAGATGTCTTATGCTTATTAATTGAATGTTGATAGGAGCACATAAGAAGTAAACAGCACAAAGACATTAGATGTCTAGTCTATTTTGTTCCTTGATCTAATGTTATGGGTTTTTTTGAAGTAATGCAATTATTTGACTGCTGATAGTCATTTAGTAACCTTATTAGGGTTTTGGATAGAATTGTTTTAATAAATGAGATGTCTTATCAGGCTTTATTCTGGTAACATTTACAGAAGTAATTATTTTACATGACCAAAAACCCCTGATGTTAAGTCTTTGCTTTCTGGTAAGTTCCACTGTGGGCTCTTTAAGTTTTTCTTTTTTCTGTAGCTCTGTGATCATGTCAGTTCTTTTTTAAACATATAATAGCTCTGTTTTTCATTCCCATTTCCTATTGCTAAATTTTCTAGTAAAAATCAAGAATTCTGATTTCTAAAGGGTGCTTGCTGTGTCTAATATTAATGGAAATCAGTGAAGAAATATCTGTTGTTATTGTGTGTTCTCTCACTGACACAATACTGTTATTATCAGGCTAACGATGAACTCAGAAATCTGGATTTGTCACTGATTTCAGTAGGAGAAGGGGCAAGTGAGAGATTTTGGATGGTGATTTCCAGTACATCTTCAAGTTTTTCACTGTTGTGCTATGCCATTCTGTATTCAGTGTTTACTAATTTCAGTTTTGCACATTTTAACAGTATTGGCCCATGTCTCTGAGACTTTGGTGGGTGGGAGTTTTTACCTATGCAGACAGTCCCATAGGGCTTAATGAGTCAGATATATTTACAATAGCAGGACTGAATTCTCTGCTCTTGTGAAATATCTGTACAAAAGAGAGACCTGCCTAAAGATCCTTATCATTAATAATGTAAAAAAGATGTCTTCTCATTGCTTTTCCTCTACATATGAGACCGCAAACCAGTAACATTTATCCTGCTATAAATGCTGCACTGCTTTTTCAATATTCAATTTGCAAAGGCTGCAGTTCAGCTTTGTGAATGGTGATTGGGCACAAATTTATTCTGACATTCATAGGTTAGACAATATGTCAGTTCATGCAAGTCTGAAGAGCGGAACAAAGTATGACAATATCTTCCCCATATGTAGCTTGACCTTAGCACCAAATTAAGAGGGAGGAAAGTGGCGAGGGCAGTAATTTCATGCTCTGACAAAGAGACTATCCAGTGCTGAATGAGAAAAAGGCTGGAAGCTGCCAAGTGTATGATCTTGTATAGCCGGAGGCTTTTACAAATGAGTCAGTTATGAGCGTGCACATTTAGAAGTGTGAAATAGGCAGTGGAGCATGCTGAGACTGCAGATTGTGAATGAATTAAGTAATTTACATTCTGAAAGTGCTTGGTTTTGGTTTCTGGAAGATAAAATGAATCAACAAGAAATTCATATTCAAAATCTGGTTTTAGTGGGGTTTTTTTGGATGTGCAACAGTAAATCTAGCAAGATATTTAAAAGTCTGATGGACCTGAATTTTTTCTAACAATGAATCTGTTCTTATGTTTTCAAAGGGAAAATAGTAAAGTTCATTTTTCTGTAATTACAGCAATTAGGATAATTGGTAGAGATTTATTTCTACAGTATGAAATGAAGTAATTGAGTGATGGCTTAATTGTTTAGATTTCAATGGAGAAAACTCTAAGGTAGATGACCTAATAGGAACTAATGATTTATGTTGAAAAGGCAGAAGCAGAAAGGTTTCTGGTGTTTCTAAAAGGCCAGAGAATGACATTGCTTTGCAATAATCGGTTCTGTTTTGCTATCAGTAGTTTTTCTTTGTAGCTAGAGTTTAATGAAGTAGAAATCTGAATGGCACAACTGAAGGGTTATCTTAGCAGAAAAAATAATTAGCATTGCTCTCCCTGTGTCTTCAGGCTACAGTTTTCTGAAACTGTTTAATTGGAGCAACTGTGCTTAACTTATCTGGTGTTTAAACAGTTCTGTTATTTGGCTTAGCTTGCTGGTGCTGAACAGAACCATCCACAAAAGATCCTGGCGGGAAACATCAGTGACTGCTACTGATCCTTCTGTGACCCAGAAATAGTCATGTTGCTACTTGGTGGAAGATGCTATTTTCCTATCTTCTCTTGTAATTGATAATGTCATAACTGAAAGATAAGGATACAGTTTGACAGTACAGTGCTCTTGGAACACAAATCAGTGCAGATACCTTACGAAACTGCTTATTTGCTATTTTGAGATTATCAGAGGCACAACAAACTGTGTTCTCAAAAACTGTTTTGCTTTCTTTAATAGGCGCCTAAATCTAATTATTTGGAGAGTACTACCTCAAGACGAAAGAGACAAGTAAGCTTATCACCCTTTAGTTTTCTGCCTCACCTCTGAAAAGCTGATCATAAATATTTCACACTTCTTTTTCATCACTAATTTCTGTAACTAGCTTGTTTTATTTTTGAATATTTTATGCCTGTACCTTACTTTTAAAATGTATATGTGATAATGGAGTAATATTAAACTCTGGGCCTCCTTTTTCCAGTGCTGATTATTTTTAAAGGAAAGGACTTGCAGTCCCTTTGAATGGTGCTAATCTATTCTTAATCAGGTGTCAAGTGGCAGGCCTTGGGAGGGCAGCATATCATTGCCTTTGGCATCTTGTTAAATCTTTTCTCATCCAGTAAAGAGTACTTATAGGGTGTTTGTAAAGGTCTAATGAGCACTTTTATCCTGCTGGAACTGTATACCACACTGGAAGTTTATATTACTTTAACTAGCTTGTTTCTTCATATCAATTTAGAAAACCGGAGACTGTCAGCAGGGCTGACATCAGTGAAGTCAGCATCTGTTTACTTCATGGGGTAATGTGAAGATCAGTCAATGCAAACTGAATGGGTAGGCAATATTCTAGACAGAAAAATGGGAATAAAACCAGAAGGCTTTAAAGAAGACTGAGTTAGTGAGCAAAAAATACACAGTTCTATCAGTAATGAAGCGAACAGTTTTGGCAAAAACCCATTCTAGCTCAGAGAGGAAGTGAAGGTTGTTAAAGGAAAGAACAGCAAGCATATAATTAAAAAACGGAAATAGATACCCATTAATACAGATAAGGAGGTATACATTACAGATAAGGTGGCATGAGAACAATTTTATTGCTGGCAAAGATAGGGACAGTCATGAGTTTAGGTATATAGGAACAAAATAAATCCTAGCAATTGTACAGTCTATTATTAGAGGGGCATATAAAGATTGTTAATATTGATGCATAAAAGTTGAAATGGTCAGTCTTTACTTCTCTTCTCAATTTACAACTCAAAAGGTAATGTCCATGTATAACAAAAGGATGACAACGTATTTTCAAATTCTTTAGGAATCTGGGGGGACTATTAAACAAAGCCTACTAACTTGGTCACAAGAGTTCTTAAGGAATTGCCTGAGGAGATCTCTCATTCACTAGTGTTTGTTAAAAGGTAGATCAGATTATGAGGGAAATTCAAATTTAATGGAGGAGCGGTAATATTAGGCTTGTGTTCAAAAGAGTTGAGAGAAGTGATTCAGATCAGTTTGCTTGACATTGGTTCTAGATTAATAATGGATTCTGTTAGTAGAGAACAAAATCTAGGTAAATAACCATGTCAGCCAGTATAATTTCAATGCAAAACAGTTCCTGGAGGAAGAGAGAGCTGCGTAATGAGAAAGAGTAGGGCAATGGAATAGGCTTTGCCATGGTTATACATGTTGGTAAGACAGACACTTAAATACTCTGTTCAGGTCTAGGTTTCACATTTTTAAAATGTTGGCAAAGCTATAGAGAAGAGTCACAGGAATAACAGGAAAACTGAAAAGAAATACCTTACTATCTCTAGGAGATAGTATAATTTAAAGAATTGTATCATCTGTTCTGTTTTGGGTTTTTTGTTTTTTATTGTTTGTTTGTTTTTTATCAACAATAAGACTGTAGCTGATTCACATTTTTGTGTAGAAGTGCCTTCAGTGTGTAGGCTTAAAATGGGTCTTCAGTCTAGAGGATATTGACATAGCCATAACCCATGGATGAAAGCAAACTTCTGATTGATGAGTGACTAGAGCAGTGCAGGACTGAAAGAGGAACAAACAGCAGAAGATGCTCTCTATTTGATGAATTCGGTCAAGACTGATGAGGCAAATCAGGACTTAATAGGTACCATTTTAGATGTTCTAGATGCTACTTGACTGTAGCTGCTACTCCAGAAGGGTCTGGAATTTTCATGATTTCTGGATCGTATCTGTAAGCTTTTTGCTGATGCCTCAGATGTTCTAGGGCATCTAAAATGGCACCAAACACCTGGCTCAGCCATTGATTTGCTGTCTACGTGTCTTTCTGTGACATATGGTTAAGCTAGGTGCAATTACTTGACTCAGCACAGCAGCAGCTGAATGAAATGCAAGAACTTGTGGCATACAAAAGATCAGATTAGATGAATCTGGTCTTTTATTCTGCCTTTAAACTCCGTGATTCTATTTGTAAAGTGCAGTAAGAACTGAAATCTCTCCTATATGCAGTTACTGATTTTTGTTTATTTATTTTTTAAGATTTAAAAAGGATGGGCCAGTCCAATATATGCAGAATAAGGAAGCTTTGCTGGAGGCTTTAGAAAAGCTAGAATGGCCAATTTCCTATGAAGATGTAATATTGTTAGAAGATGAGATACTGGCAGCATTAACGTACAAGCAACAAGCCTCTGATCTTCAGGAAGCTGTGAAAAAAGAAATTGAGAAAAACTCAGAGTCACACGTTAGCAAGAATAAAAAGGTAAGAGATTGGAAGGGCAGGCAACATTTTCCTTTCGAATATTCCTCTTCAGTAAATGCTTCTGCCATAATTTTATTCTGTCACAATAGCTGGTAAATTAGGCATTTAGTGTAATCCTCTTCAAATGGACAGAGGAAAGAAAGTAATAAAAAAGAAAGCGATCTGTTATGATCACTTACAGTAAACTTTTTTTCCTGTCTGTCTATCTATGTATCTACCAAATATTCACACTCTCTAGCTTTGGAGAACTACTGAAATACTGGTATTTGGGATGCAGCTTACCCCTGTGTCATATGGCACTTGAGTAACTTTTTTTTAAAAAAACCACACCACAAGGCAATCGGGAAAAGCAGGTGAATCTCCTAGGATAAGCACTTTTAATTGTGTATATACGTTGTCTGTAAAGCATAAATAATCAGTAAGACACTAAGTGTACTTTTAGCAAAGCTAAAATTTGTCGTGAATGTAGACTTTGCTTTGCATAGTGTAGTACAGCAAATTTGGACTCTGTTGGATGTACTTTGTAAACAGAAGTTCTAGAGCTGACAGAGCCACAAAAATTGAACTGCTTAGGAAGCAAATCTGAGCAAAATACCTTTGTTTTCTCTGCAAGAACAGCTGAAAAAGAAGAGATATGTGAAAGATGACTATGATATAAGCCTTGTGACAGTTTATCCTGCAGATCTGCATAAATGTACATACGCATAAAATATAGAGCGGAAGAAAAGGGTTGCCTTTGGAAGTGCGGCTTCATAGATTGCTAGTCATTTTGTTCATTGCGTCAATTGTAATGGGTTTTTAAGAGTAACTTCATGTAAAATACACAGTAATAATCTGCAGAACACAGTGAAATGTTCTCTAATGAAATGGACAACACTCCGGACTTCCATTAGCATTAGCTAATGCTGGTCTTGCACGGTCTTGAAGGGTAAGGCATTCTTAGGAAGTGGCCTCAGTTCTGCATTTTATTTCCTGGCTAAAGATTCAGAATGGTCTAAGAAATTAGAAAAGACTTTACAAACTTTAGACTTGTTTACCAAGAGGTTGATAAATATTTTGGTTAAAGAGACAGAAGAAACCTCTTTTGTGTATTTTTCTTGTCCACATAACGTCAATACCTGCTGAGCTTCAGCATCACGTAACTAACTCTCATCCAGGTGCCAGGAACAGGGAGAAAAGAAACTGCACTGTTCAGTCTTATGGGAAAGACAAAAGCTGATTGTCATCACATTGATGGTGCAGCAGCTCAAAGTATCTGTTATTCTTAAAGTTTCACAGGCATTTTGCTGAGAAGAATAAACATATCTCATCTTTATACTTTGTTACAGAGATCTCCAGTGGGATATACCCAGTTCTCTGGTTTAATAGAAGTTGGGTTAATAGCAGATAAACAGGACTAAAAGATTTTGTAATGGCAAAAGTGATTCACTGTAACCTTCCCTGGTATCTTTATTCTAAGAGAAAAGATGGACAGGAGGGGTGAGATTTATCTCCATATTCAGACACTGAAATTTCAGTGTCCATACCATGTAGGTGTCTACACATGAACAGGTATCTCAGTTCACATTGCTACTCTGAAACTATAATTGAAGTCTGAGATTTTTTGTTGATGTTACATACATATTTTCCTGAAATGAACCACTGATTTTACTTGGAGTGCTGTTGAGAAATTTGATGAAATGCCTGTGGAAATAGATGAAGAAACAAGTATAGAGGTTAATAAGTTATTTTAGGCTCCACAATGGGAAGGGAGAACATGTTCTATCATATTAGCGTTTCCTGTGATATGCATGTTCAGAAAACTTTTTAAGTTACAATATTGTGTTTTATCATTATTTTCACTCTTTCAGGGTATTCTTGAAAGGGAATTGATTCTACTTTAATGGCTTTTACGTTTAAGTTGTATTGCATAGTAACTTTTATAAAAAAGGAATGTGTGTATGTAAGTATAAAACCCCACAGAGCACTTAAAACCTTATCTTCAATTTGAATAGTGCATAGATCTTCTGCACTAAGTTTTGTCTTTGCGACAGAGTGTGCAAGTGAATTCTAAGGGAAATCAGGAACATACTTTTAAGTTTTAAAAATTGATTTAATTTTCCTCAGTGGATATTTTTCTGTATATACTGTTGATGCTTTAAAATTCAAAGTACTTACCTCTAAAAAAAACAAGCCATCTCTCTTATTCAGTTTCAAATTTTTTTCGTCTAAAAGCTTCATCAAACAGTGCCTCACTGGGAATGCTGCTACCTCTGTAGAACTGCAGTCTAGGTAGAGTTGTACTGTGCTAATACTAAGATAAGCTCACTAGAAAAATAAGAAAAAAGAAAATCTTCTTTCAGATCTCTAAGTTCTAACAGAGGATAAGTAAAAACAAATAGAGAATTCGTCATAAAGCTCATATATTAATATACCCCTTTTCTTTTTCCCTGTTTCATATCAGTGAGTGAGGGAAATTCCTCTGACTGAACTTTAATGCATGGTTGGCCTAAGTGAAGTGAATGCTGAGAAAAGTTGTGTGCTTTGCATTATGTAGGAAGCCTGATTACATGATCATACTATTTCTTTTGTACCTTGATGTATCTGTGTATGCATCTACATACATACATACATACATACATATATGCGTCGATATAAAGAGGTAAGCTAAGTGAAACCCAAATAAGCACAATAAGAACCTATACTGTGAGTTCTCAACAGAAGATGGGAATGTCCTCTACTTGAAAATTATATCAGGTGTCAATATACCCTACCTAGCAGGTCATGCCTAGAAATATAATGCCAGTTTCCTTAAAAAGACAGTCTTAAGTTTTATCTGGCATTCATCCACGTCTCTTTTCCCTGAAGTCAACAACATTTTCACATTGAGTTGTAGTCTTTTTCATACTATGACATAAGTTGTAAAAATTTCTTTGTATTAAATTGAATAGAATGTATTATGATAACACAGGCCATGTATGAAAATAAATTATCATGAGAAGCCTCATGTTCAGTTTCTGTAACTTTGGAGAATGTATTTGTTCCACTAAGAATCTACATTTGAAAACATTTTTTAGGTCTTCAAAAACCAGATGAAGATTTTGATTAATTTTACATTAATCTGAAAATATTACTTTGCTAATAAAGCTATTTTGATTATTGATTCATCTCTGCCACCTAATGTCTGCACAAGAGGAGCAGAAACATGTTATGTTTCATTTGTTGATTCTATGTAATTTTACTATTCTGTTGAAACATCAGTGTGCTTCATGCTCTCAGACATGATGTGATTAACATTGTGCAATCACTTATCCTGAGGCAACCTGCTTTAGGAGCCTAATCAGAGCAGCATCTTCAGTAATTGCTAATCTGCAACTGAAAAGCTTTAAGAGTGAGAGGCAGAAATGCAGATGTAATTAGAATTCTGTTTATGTGGTGGAAAAAAAACAGTGAAAAAAGCCGCAAAAAAAAAATGTGGAGCCTCCTTTAAAAGTTGCCAGAGGTTTTTTTCAGCTGCAGAAATGGGTATAAAAAAGTAAACTGCCAGCTGAAAGACGTTACAGTAACAAAATAGCTGATCTGGCACTGAATGAAAATTGTCATTGTGAGAGGGTAGAAAAATGGCAGTTATTCTGGAGGTCTGCCCAACAAAGTAGACTTTTAAATTGCCTGCTATTTTTTTTAACTAAAATTCAAAATAAAAACCCTTAGCTTTTAGCTTTTAAGGGTTCCTAATTGTCTTCACAACTTCTTGGAAGAATTAGTAATCCTTTTTGGATGTCCTTGCTACAGGAGCTTTCTGTTTAAGCCTGCAACTGAATTAATGATCTGGTTATCCTCCCTCTGTGCTTTGACCTTCTGTGGGAGTTGTGTTCAGGCTGCTATGTTTGCTGATATCTGTGAAAGGGAAGTTATGTCGATAGCTTACCGAAAGAGGATGAAGTAGACATCTACCTGCGTAGGGCCATGAGATGGCTGAAGATCTCTAGTGATACAAGAAGTAAATGTTTTGGGAAATGAGCAAAGAAACACATTTAATTATTATCAGAAAAAATCTAAAACACTGAAAATGGATGATTAGCTAATTTGAGGAATAACTGTAGACTGTATCTCACTCTATTTGCTCAGTTCCGTTTGCTGTGCTGATGTAAACATGTTGACTAAAACGTTCCTCTTCAGGCTGGCACTTGATTTTGATTGAAAAATGATACAAAAAATGAGGACTGCGTCAGTCACCTTTCTATGTGTCCTAATAAGTAACTGCTTTGACTTAAAATATTGTATCTGGTGTCTATTTTGAACTTGTCAGGCATTAACGCTCAGCCATCATTTCTTGTTATGATTTTTCTCACTGAATGATAAAGCCCTTTACCACATGATGTTTTTACCTTAGAGAAGGCCTTGTACACTCTCCCCTGTCCACCTCGCCTTAGAGCACCTCAGGTACCAGGGTCATGGCATTACTATTCTCCAAATGTGGTAGCTTCCAGGACAGTTTTTGTATTCTATTAACGGCATTCGCATTTTCATGTTAATTATTATTCTGTTCCTTAAATGTCATAATCCAGCCTTTAAGAGTGGTAAAGAACATCTCCTTTCATATTAAGTCTTTCTTTTTCTCCATATCAATGAACATCAGATTCTGCAAAGAAATAAAGCCATATTCTTTACAAAAGATTCACTCTCATTAGGACTACAGTTTTAAAGTGCTGTGTATCCCTCAGCATGAGCTTGCATGTGCAGGGCTTAGCCTTGTTCATGGCCATGCCGAATGACCATTGTGTGATTAAAAATAACCTGAAATGATTTATAAATGTAATGTGAGTGTTTTGTAAAGCAGGTTTATTTGGGTGGGAAGGGACCTCTAGTGGCCCGTCTAGCCCATTCTTTTGTATACAGTTGATTTAATTATTCTAAATGAAATATATAGAGCTGAGTCTTAACTCTATCTGAAAATGGAAATTCTTTACCTCCCTTGGCAGTTTCTTCTATTTCCTTATGTCCTAATTCTTACAGTCTTGAATCTTCCTCACTGTTTATTGAACACTAATAGCTGTCTGTTGATCTCTTCTACATTCAAATGTTTCCTAAATAGCTGGGCATCTCCTTTCTTTGTTCTTGTGCAGTAAATTTCCATTGTCATGAATGGAGAAACCTGTTAGAGAAAGTGTAAGCTACAAAAAGTTATGCTTGCTTCCAAAAAAAAATAAGAACTGTGGTCTGGTCTACACAGAATGGGCTTGTTGTCACCAGTTAAGGGTTTGGCACTGTTGATCTGGAGGAATTAGGTTGTGCTGGTAGTAATGCTAAAGTTAGGACGAATATACTCAGAGGTCTGTGGATAGTCTTCCTGTCCATTCTCACTCACGATGGGAAAGCGCAACAACAGATCTCTTTCAAAAGAGAATTTAAAAATTTTAAAACACAGCAGACGCTGGCAAAGGGAAACAAAATCTGCTTCACTTCATATGGTTTAATGCATTGGCTTCAGTGGTTTCATGCATTGGCTTCCGCAGAGCTAAACACCCTGGCCTCAGTGGAAATCCCTGTGAATGAGAGGGAGCTCTTTAAGATACTAGACAACTTAATACCAGAAGTGGGCACTGGCACAATTGCACTGAGCACCTAAAGGTTACATTAGGTAGGAAAGACAGATGTGACAGTGGTTCTGAGCCACCTGAATTCTGCAGTACATTGTGCATGCTTACTCAGTCTTTAGTACTGGGATTAATGTGGAATGCTGGACATGGCCCAAGTTATTAGCCAAGCATTACAAATTAGTTAATAATAAATATTCAGCAGCAGCTGTCCCTTTGGAGCCTGAGGAATTAAGTAAATGGCTTATCCAAATGCCCTTTTGTGTTTGTGGAGTATTAAGTCTTTGCACTCAGATCAGCCTTTGTTAGGTTATACTTCAAACATCTAAACGCTGTGAAGAGCCTTTGTTTTAGACTGTATTTGAGAAACAGGAGTGTTGGTATAATTTATATTCTTTAGAGGTAAAGAATAAAACGAGAAAACAGACATTTCTCCTGTTTAAAATATCTCCTTGTGTGTTTTTCTTTTGAGTTTTGTTTTTTTTTAGTATTGTTTGTGGTTTTTGTGTGGGATATTGAAAAAGTCTAGGGAGAGAGGAGTTCTTAATAGCTACAATGAAACTGAGAACAAACAATTTAGCCAAAGTTATTCCTGTCTTTTACATCATTGTTGTCTGTTAGGGCAAATGTCGTATCCAAGTCAAATGTACCTTTAAGGGAAACAATGTCACCAGACGAGGAAGCAGGACATACTCACCCTAGCAAGCAGGGGTTTTTAGGGGTCTGTGGGTTATGGTTATTTTTCAGAAACAAAATTTATAAACAGAATGTACATCTATGCAAAAGTTTACTTTTTCATTTTGTGATTCAAAGGAGCAATATTAGAGATGGATGCTTGCAAATTGTTTACCTGATGTGGGCTAATAAATGTTTTAAAAATTAATGGGGAAACATAATGATTTATTTAACTTGGCATTTGCTTACAATTTACATTTAGAAACAGTATCTTGAGCAGTATGGAGAGAATAACATGCTGTTATTCAGTAATTAATTTCATACTGTTGTAGCAAATGTAAATTACACTGTGATTCTAGATTATTGAAATATTCAGTATCAGAAAGACAAGGTTTTTGTCTCATCAGTTTTCTTAATTTTTTCAGAAAAGTAGAATGAGAAGTATTCTTTCACAGTCTGATGAATACACATAATTCCCTGGTGCTCTCAAAACCTGCTGTAAGAGAGTTGGCCTGAATAGGAAGAAATTCTTTCTTCTAGAAAAAAAGGGATTCAGGAACATGAGATTTTTTTTAAAGGCAAGTAACCCTGAGAACCCACAAAACGGTGAAGTGAGAAGTAAAAGGCTTTAAGGTAAAAGAACATAATGACTTGCAGAGTCAAGTACTCAGAAGCTCACAAAGGCCAGCAGTATGTTTTTTATGTAGAGCCAATTGTGATTTATGATAATCTTTGACTATTTTTCATATACTTTATTTTCCACGACCCTTTACCTCAGTCATTGCATGTGATGCATGGTGCTCTTTGCATTCCTGATTCAGTGCTGAATGCAGTCACTGACTGCAGTAGGAGTTGAATCTGTCCACATATGGCCACCTCCCTTCGTATTTCTTTGTCTTCTCACTATTCTGTGCCTGACTGTACTTCTTTTTTATAGTGTACCATGCATACCGTTTGTTTGATTCAGGGTAGTTATTTTATCTATGAACTTTTTTATTTTGTTGTTATAATATCTTAGTCTTTTAAAAGAATTTCTTACCTTGTTTCCACAAAACTCCTCATGATGTAAAATTGTGTTGTTATCCTCGTTTTGCAGATGAGGAAGCAAGGTAGACATTGACTGAGACCAGAATGATAAAGGATTCAGGATGCCTAGGCTGAGAAATGTAGCATGTTGACTTTTCTGAGGGCTGGTCATTTTAAAGAAGTTCATCCCTTCGCAACCAGATGTTTCCTTTTGCAGTTGCACACACTAAACACTGCCACAAATCAGAAAATTAGGATCTAAATTCAACCTGTCTCACTTTAGGATGAAGCTGCAGTAACATCTTTGATAGACTAGATTGCCCTTTGGAAATTTCTCTCTCTCTATTGAGCGTGAGGGAACTTGTGAAATTTCAAGTACCTTGTTACAAATCGTTGAGGTACGTGGTCCTAAATAACAGCACCTGAGAAAAAGAAATTGCATCCTTTGATATAGTGCTGGGCTTTGAGCTGACTGGTACCCTTCCAAACAAACGTTATAAAAATAGTCGCTCAGTTTTCCATAGCGGTGAAAAGAAAAATCATTACGAATGGAACAGGGAAAGCAGAGATCAGATGCCATTACAGCACTGTGTACATCCATAGTGTGCCCCCATCTTGAATACTGGCTGTAATTCTGCTTTCTCTATTTCAAAAAGGATGAGGTAGAGCAGGAAGGTTACAGCAATGGGCAACAGGAATTAGGTGAGGTTTGGCCAGCTTCTATATAAGCTAAAACTTTATAATAGATTAAATAGTCTGGGAAAGAGCTGACTGAGAAGGAAGTGTGGTAGAGCTATGAAATCAAGACGTTTCAATGTGAGTAGAGAATGAATATTCACTGACTTTTGCAGTATGAGACTATGACCATCAAATGCATCTAGCTAGTGCCAGACTCCAAGTGTAAGTGCTCCTTTGCGCACCACACTGTTAAGCTGTCCAATTCCTCGCAGCAGAATGCTGTGGATTGTAAAAGTTGACATATACTCTTCTTATGTGCCTTTTTTGAGTACATCATGAGCCATTAAATGCAAACACTCTCTCTTCTGCCTCAGGAAAATCCTGATCTATGAATTACTGGAGTCTGGGAGAGTGTTCAAGTAAGAACATGCTTGTCCCGTTCTTATACTCCTCCCTGCTATTGGCCTGGGCCACGTACAAGAAAGCAGCTGTATGGCTGTTTGATCTGACTCCGTACACCTAGTCTGTTCTTACAGCTATCTCAACTGAACAGTTATAGCACTGAAGAAACCTGAAGCTGATGACTGAAAAATGTTTTTCCGATGGAAAACACCTTAAAAGGGAATAATGCAAAATATGCCACAGAAAATTTCATCTGTTTTTCAAGACCTCGTGCATCAAAACGATTGGCCAAAGAGAAAGATTTTTCATCTGGAAAAGCTTAATTAATTAAATTAAAGGGTTGTTTGGATCACCAGGTTCATTTGTGAGCAATGCAACAGTAAGTTTTGTTACTCTGTGGTGCCTATGGAACCTTGTGGGAGCTATAGTCTGGGGAGTTCCACCCCAAAGAAGAGAGTTAGTGTATGAAGAACCCAAACCTCCAAGGCAGAAGCATACACAATGGTGGCTCTGGAAAATGGGGTGTAATATTTTGCTAAGCTGAAATGTTTTTAAACTACTGAAAAACTTAATTTTGAAAATCATATGAACTTTAAATATTTGGTAAATCTGTTACAGATCGTAAATAAACATTTTGTCCAGACAGAAGCTTCAAGATCTTCTTTTTATTTTGGATTTTGTGTTTGACTCTTTTAATCAGTCATTCCACATAGTACGAGCACTTCTAATAAAAAAGCATTATCGTGAAAACCCACCTATCTGAAGGAAATGGGTGTGTGCGCAATGTTCACTTATTTTGTAAAATACGTAGATTTTTCCTTACCTCATTCTTGGAAATCCAGCTTTGTAAAATTTTTCCTAGGAAAATGCAGCCAGCGTCATGATTTTTTAAGGTAAATTTCCACCTGAACACTTAAAACATAGGCGTTGTTATGACCATATCAAACAGGATTTTATAGTGAAAACTGCTAGGTGATCTTATCCGTGAGTGCTTTCTGTAACATACCTTGCTCTATTTATCACTATTCTAAATGTTTAAAATAATCCAGTTTACTGGGAATTATTAACAGAGTTCATAACATTATATTGCATAAATGTTTAGTTAATTCCAAAGGATAGGTACACCCTGACTGGATAGTTGTTGTGGAAAAAAACATGTTTGTATCAAATTATAGAGACTTGAAGAAGAAGCTGTGAAGTCACAGTCTAAAAAAAGACAAAAAGGAAAAGTATTTTTAACTCTCAAAAGCCACAAGGTGATTGCAAGATCAGACATCACCGGATTTTATTATCCAGGTAAATGTTTTTGTTTGCGTTTTCTGTATTTTTAGAGTTTCCTAGTACTGATGAAACATTTCTTTTGGTCATATTTAGCTAGTTCAGTTTTCATTAGATTTAGTTTTACACGTGCATATTAATGAAAAATGAATATATGTATTTTGTGTGTGCACATATATGCATTTATGAAAAGATGCATTCCGTAAGGTCCCAAAACTATGCATGTCTGCTGACAGATAGGTTTATATAAGAAGAGTGCGGGGAAAAAATGCCTTTCAGTACCTGACACACATTTTAAACTAGGTGAGAGTATCTGTCTCTCCCTCTTTGATGCCTCTTTTCCTGTGTTTGTGTTTGGAAAAAGCTTGGTCAAATAATTCATCAAATGTTTCTTCCGTTTTACCGAGTTTTAAGCCAGAATGGTTATCATGTAAAATTGTACGTTGTTTTTTCATTAAAAAATCAAACTAGTGCAGAGACTTTGCTACCAGGAAAAAAAAAATACCTTGGCCAATTCTGTTATCTTCTCGTTTTCTTTTCTGTTGTGGATGTTTGAGCTTGGTCTGTGTTTCCACATAAAAAGCGTGACCCGAGGCAGTGTAATAACAGATGTAGTGTGTGTGTGCGCGTGTGTGCATGTCCGTGTGTAGTGGGGAAGTCCATTATTTTTATGCTACTTTGACTTGTTCTTTTTTTTTTTCAATTTTCTCCATATTTTTACCTCTGGTAATAGCTTGATCATGTCATCAGTCAGCCAGCTGGTACGTTCACAAAGTTCATACTTAGGCTAGAAAATTATCCTTGTTTTTAGTTTTATAGTGGCTATGTTATTAAGAATGGTTACTAGGGCTGTATTTATTCAGGCACAAATTTCCCTGTTTCCTTAGCACAAATTACACCAGCTAAATGAATCCAACTACAAATGGAAATGAGGACTGTGTAGTGCTGACACAGTGTGTCTGACCTCGGCGATGTGTGACAGTTTATTTTTTTACTCCTTATGGAAAACTTCAAAAAGTCCTATAATAATGTGAATATTTTGTTATGTTGTTCTTTTAGGAACTGTGATAAAGAATATTAGTTCTACCCATGCAGTTGTTGACTTCAGCTGTGGGGAGACCTGGACTGTACCTGTGAAGTTCATTATATCTGTAGGGGGTGCTATGCCATGTCCGTATCTGCAGGTGAAGAATTGTGTGTTTTATGGTAGCAAATATGGACTGTTAGCTTTGTCCCATTGGTCACAGATAAGAGTAAATTATACGTCTTTTTATATTTTGGAAAAAGTGATTTATTTTAAAGAGTCTTTACTGACGGCAATAGCTCTGTTCTGATGATATTATCAACATGCTATTTTTCATTTGTTTAGAGCTTCTTTTCGTTATAATCTTATTCATTTGCTTATCGGAAGTCTATATTATTTTCTTTATAAAACCTGACTACTTGGCCACCTGTAGAGGAGATGTATGCTGTTTCCCAGCAAAACAGTTTCCTAGCAGGTAGTTTAATAACCAAGGAGAGCATTTTATGTCCAGCAGGTTCTAACAAGTTATTTATCATAATATAATTTAAATACAGCAAATAACCTTTTACTAGCCCCAAGTAACAGTAATGGAAAAACCTCTTCTTATTCCGTTTCTGTGTTTTCAAGTTGATCAGCTGACTATCTGCAATCACAAATCTTTCTCTTTCAGGTGATTCATATTTTACCTTAGAGAGAGATGATAGAAACAAAAAGCAGTTTTGTAACTATTGTGTTACGCTTAAAGCTAGAGACGTGTTTTTTTCCTCCCTTGAAATGAAGTCAAATGCTGAACAGGTGGTTCCTGGTATTCTGTAAGGGAAGCATCCCGTTCTGGAAAAGATCTGCGGAATTTCATAGAAATTATAACTTCTATGTTGATTTAAAAATGGTTTTATATACATTAGTTACATATGCTATTCTTTAAAATACCCAAGGTTGCTTTAAAAGCTTAGTATAAATTTATGCGTTTGTACAAAGTTCAAGAGGATAAAGAGTTGGAAGAGTTTCCTCATCCTCATTCTGTCCAACTCGCCAGCTGAACCATGGTACGTTCAGTAGGGCTCTATCGTGTAGTTATTGCTTTTGTGTTCTCTTCCTGATCCAGTGGAAATTAAGAGTGTTCAGTACCTGGGGGGACCAAGTCCTTTATCTTTGCTTTTAAAGCTCTGCATTAAAGGACTGGAACGTGATAGAACGATGATCTGTGTAAAAATCTCAATATCTATCTTTTATGTCTTGTAAAACTCACAAGCTACAAGGTTCTCGCAAACCAATGCTTTCCGTGGTATGCAGGTTGGAGACTATGTGTTTGCCAGGACTTGTACACAGACTGGAAATGATTATTATGTACCTGCCATTGTCATAGCAACACCAAAGAGAGTGGAAACGGATAATAAACTCTACGTGGTTCTGACGTTCAACAATAGGAGAGTAAGTAAACCTATAAGAGGAAACAAATTTTGTAGTGGTAGTACCAGGATTCTGGTTTTCATGATACAGATATAACTGGCCAGGCTAAAGAGCCTGCTGTCCCATTCCCTGTCTCCAGTTACCAAAGTAAGCCGGCTTTCAGGGTTGAATGAAAAGCCCTCTAAGATAGACATGAACTAAGAAGTTCTGAAGGATAATTTATTCTTAATTCAAATGCTTTTCTTTCCTCAATAGTCCATTTAGTGACTTTCACTAGCTTCATGCTGCTAACGTGAGAAACTTAGGGTTTTTTTGTCACATGCAGTACAATCTTTATTCATTTCATTATCATCACGGCCTACAGACAAGCAAACATAATTTTGCTGCATTTTTTTCATGGTGCATTATTAAAAAATGCATTTTGCACTTGAAACTTTTTTCTTCCCCATGTAGATGCTGCTTACACCTGCGTTAAAGTGATTGAGATTTTTTATACGTTCATTTCTTTACTGTTTGCAAAATTTAGCTTTAATTTGGTTGAATGTTGATTGTATCATTGCAGGAACACTGCTTACGAAGTGGGCTTATTAAAATCAGCCAGACAAAGTATGCCTTTTCCTGTCGGTACATAAGAATGGTGCAGATGGCAGATTATATGATGTGAGTATGCTTGAACCTAAAAACGTAAAACTTATTTTATGTGAATCCCAAATGTTGCACTTTGGGCCCAACTGTACTGTCAGATTTCCGTATCTAATACTCTTTTTGTGAAATGGAGTATGGTTTGCTCTAAACATGCAACCAAGCGGTTTGACCCGCAGAACATGTGGATGAGAAGAGTATTACTTGTCTCTTCCACCATTTTATTACCTGGCAATTTGTTGCTCAATTTTCATTTTCAAAACATTGATGGGATGTGTTGGCTAGAAGCTTAGCCCCAGGAAGTTGTTAGAGAATTGCTGAAAGGTGAGATGGAGTTTCTGTTTCTCGAAGAGCTCATTTTTCTTTCAAGATATTTGCATGATATAAAGCTATGCATTAAATTGTAAGTTGTTTCTAGGATATTGGATCTTTTATTGGGCTTAAATCTGGGGAATGATAGGGAGAGAGTATGTAGCTTGCTTTGAATATGACCTCCTGGAGAACTTCTGTAGCACAGGCCTAAAATTTTCTGGTGTGAACAGTGCAGTGAACATGCAGTGGTTCCAAGTGATTATGGATCACTTTTTCATTTTCTATAAAATTCTAGTTTTATCCATTTGAAATAGCATTGGGTTGTGGTAAATTCCAGCACATCAGCTGTCTCTGATAGTTACCAACATAAGATTTTGCTATAGGGATTCTAGACTCAGTTGCTCCCTCTTTATCCCCTGTACGTCAGTGTAGTGTTGGCACTGCTGCAAAAGAGTTCGATAATACCTGTCAGGGAGATTTCTTTCCAAGAAGCTACATGAACAGGACAAATCCCACCTTTAAAGGCCGTTTTAAAACTTGACTTTTATTGAAATTTCCTAAAATTTTTATCAGTGTTAAAAATGATATCCATGGCTAGGGTTCCAGTAGTGAGTGACCTATAGAGTCCATGAAAATAACAGAAAGGACCAAAAAGCAACACTGATAAAAGCCCTAAGACAGTGGTTCTCACACAGCTTCTAATGGTGATTCCAGTGCAGTTTGAAACTCCCTCTTCTGTCAGCTTGCAGTCACACTGCATAAATAAATGAATATTTCCCATTTACTGAGCAGAATCCTTAATCTAGAAATATATTAATGCCTTTGTCCAGGCCAGATCATCTACATGATAGTAGCCAAGCCTGCTTTCACCCAAAAATAAACCCTAAAACCATGATTTCCTACTAAGTACGTACAACCAATTGAAAAAAGACAGATATATAATTGAGCTATCTTCTAGGAAAATCAGTATCTTTCCCTTTCAGTGGGAGTTGGATTATATTCTCAATAAGGTACCTTATTAATAAAAGATATGACTAAATGCATAAGCAGTAAGAACGGCTTCCTTTTTACATGCTTTGTTTCATGATTGAGTGCTTTAATATCAAATGTGATATTCATTCCCCAACCATAGACTTTATTGGCAAGCTGACTTGCCATCGTATTGTACAAATGAAGAGAATGTGGAGTTATTCACTGGCAAACAGAGGAATTATTTGGAGAACTGGTGGAAGTAACTGCACTAAATTTCTGCAAACTAAAAATAATTGTACTCATTAGATCTAAATTTTAGATGAAGTGATATCAAATCTGACAGAACTCTGGGTAAAACAGTATGTGAAATTACATCTTCAAGCCTTACTAATTGTGAATTTCTGTGTAGTGTATCCAGCAAGAAAACATTGATTTGGTCGTGCAAACTCCGGTCAGTTGGTATAGCAGATAATTGAAATTAAATTAGTGAAATCTAAATAAAATATTCCAAAAAGTATTTTTCCTGCAGCACAAAATAACGGAATCTTAGTTAAGGCATTCATTCTGTCCCCTGTAAACTGAACTAAGTGAAACAGTTCTTAGCACGCCCTGAAACAGAGCATACATTTTGCAAGAATAATTATTGAACATACCAATGTCTTTGTTGTTTTAAGGTCTAAACTTGTTGCTACATCATTTTTGTTTTTTTTTTCTTTCATTCTCTTTCCGCAGTTGAAGCTTTTAGGAACAAAGCAGAACAGTTGAAATGACAGTTCATGTATTGTTTTAATAAAATATTTGCATTGTAAAATATCTCTGTCTTTGAGAATAGCACTGTTCAGACAGACTGTCCTCAAATTATCCCTATTAAAGGCACATGAAAAGTACCTCCAAATGCTGTCGTTTCAAATGACATTACTTACATCTGATTACTAGTGTTTTAAATAAACCAAGGCCCAGATACACAAAGGGACCTCATGATACTCAGTAACACCTGAGCATCTGGCAGCTGTGTGCGTGGAATTTAAATGCCTCAGCTCCATGGGCGCAGAGATTTATAGCATATAGTGCAGTGAAATGTGTAAGGCAGCAAATAAATGAAGGGAGAATAGCATCTAAAACTGACACTCTTTTAGCTTAGATGCAGGCTTACAGCCCTGAAGTAGACATATTTGAGCGTCTGGGATTCACGGGCCTCTTTGGCATTGGGTAAAATGCATAGTGTATGATATAACTTTTAGCGTACAGGCAGCATAGACCTTACCCCCAGGTACCTAGGTGAAGTGCATTGGTGTGCCAATAAAGACTTCAGTGATCAGTAGTGAACCAGAATCCTCCATTCTGCCGCTAGAATCACAGCGTCTTTTTCTGCATACTCCCGACTTTATCGTCTACTGCAATATATTTCTGCTCATCTTTGCCCAAACTTTATATCATCTCTGATTCTGCTGAATTTTTAGTCTGTTTTCTAAGAATCGAAGCCTAGTGGGCTAGAGCTTTTACAGTTAACAGCATTTTTCATTTCTTACTACTTGGAGCTATAACTCTACAGTAAACCGTTTTGTAAGATATGAATAGAGAGGCTCTGACAATGCACTTACTGCTTCAGTAAGTTCCCCTATTACATTCTCAGCTAGTTTTTTTGAGTTCTCTGTGAAGCCACATATTTGTAATGTGAAAACTCCTTCCTCTCGTGCTGCTTAACATGTGACTTTAGTGTCATGTAGACATACCCAATGTCTTTTTGTGGGCATTGGCTTCATTAACTCAGTGGATGCATCATAAAAAGCCAGTACTGACCATGATTTTACTTTACATTTGTTTCTTTTTGTAACCCGTCATGAAGTGCTGAATGATTGTTTTCCTTTTATAAGATCTGCGTTCAAAGCCATTAAACAAACGATTGTGTTTCATTAGTTACATATCTCTTAATCACTTACTAACACAAGGAATGCTATGGCAGTGCTCTAACCCAGATTAGGTTGGCGTTTCCATTAGAGCACCTACCTTTCAGGGGGCACAGAGTTGTACTTCCAGCTGAAATGTATTATGTATGTGAAGCATTCTAAAATGGATACTTGCCTCCCATGTCATACTTCCCAGTGAGAAACAGTGCAGCATGACTAAAAAGTAAGGGTTAGTCTGGGCTTCCCTATTGACAGTCCACAGTGCGCATAAACATTATATTACATACATAAATATAATATATATACATTAATACATATTATAATCATATATTAAAAACATATATGAGATAATAAATTTATTGTGTTACAATAGCATATTTAAACCTTCAGCTGTGGGTTCTTTGGGACTGCCCTTCTGATGTTTGTTTGTGGTGTGCTATAGGTCATGCTTAACTCACTTATCTTCAGAGGTACTAATATAGCTCTCCTCGTTTTAATATCTGATGCTAGCATCTGTTTGGGATGTTTTGCTGTCATCACGGTAGAAAGAAAGAATTAGGACAGAACAAGCACACTGCAAACATAACTGACAAGTTGCATGTGCAAGTCAAAACATTGCAAGCTCTGGGCCCGCATCATAAAAGGCAGACAGTTGCCCAAATCCTCTTTGGAGTCATGAGGGGTAGATAGAATCAGGGGCTAGATCCAGAAAGGTATTTAGGAACCTTTCTCTTATCTAATGTCCATAAAGCGGAGTCCCTAAATACTTGTTTCAGTTTAGTTACCTAAACACTTCTGATAATTTGGGGCTGAGTGCAGTGAAAATAATCATCTCTAAGTGCCTTTTGCTGCATAGCTGTTCTGCAGATCTTAGGAATCTCAGCAGCAGAGTGGGAACAGACTGTCTGTGAGGGATATGAAGGGTGTGAATTCTCGTTGAATCATGTTAGAATTGAGATTAACGGGAATATTGTTCTTTTTTTTTAAGAGAAAAGGTTATATGCAATAGCTTAGCAAGATATACCCTATCTACAGAAAAAAGAGAGAAACAATGCATGCTATGTTCTACTCTTTACTTATTTGGTAACTAAAAGGCAAACGGAATTGTAAGACAATTATATCCCTGATAAGTGGTCAAAAGTATGAAAAGCCCTTCTCTTGTCAGTGCTGTGAGATGTGGGAGAAGGTGATGTAGTGTAAAGATGTGAAACAGTATATGGTATGTGAACTTTTAATTTAATGAACTTCCTTCTCTGATTTTCTAGCCTGGACAAAGAGACCAAAAAGTCCCATCCTCACTCATCTCTGGGAGATGAAGCAGGAGAAGAAGTAAAGGAAAATATTGTGAAAGAACATAGGGGAAAAAAGAAAAAGAAGAGGGCAGCAGAGGATAAAAGACATCCCGGAGAGACGATGTCAGACTCTGATGATCTTTTGTTTATCTCCAGGAGGGAAGTAAAACACAGAGGAAGAAATTCACTGCCTAATGATGAAGAGGAATTTGAAGGTAAAGAAGTAGGCTATAGAAAACTATAAATATTAGGGATTAAATAGATGTCATAGGCCTTTGGTTTATGCCCACCGAAGAAACCAGGGTTCTGCATTATCTTTCCTGGGTGTTAGCCTGCTTTCAAGTGTCCTACATGATGGAATTCTGCGAGCTTCTTTGGAAACCATTCTTCACACTGATCATGCTCGGCATATTTTTGCACGGTAAAGGAAAGAAGTGAATAAAGCATGTTCTGGCATATGCTAGGTTAATTTCCCTAACATTTATAACAATGAAAATGCAGTAGCATGAACCTTAGCACCTGTTAGTAGGCAGAGTATGTATTAGGGTTCCTGTACTATTTGTTACTTGTGATAGCTAGAGTAAAGGCATGTCTACACTGCACGTATTAAATCAGCATATATGGAGCTCGATGCTTCAGAGGTTAAATTGCTTTTTCTATCTAAGCTAACTCAGTTAAAGCTGACTGCAGTATCTGTATTCCTTGTTACTCTGCAGTAGAGGCCTGGGCTAGTATAGGTATGTTCTCGCATGCCACAGTCAACTTATCATTTTAATGAGCCTACTGTCAGTGGAACGATAGAAGAATTTTTTTCCATGCCTGCTAGTTGTACCTCCTCATACCATTTTAAACTTACTCTCAACATCCTTGTAACTTGTTTACTCCTTTCCAAAAGTAGTGGACCGTAGATTCACTCAATCGTCATGTTGACAAGCTACTTGAATTAACTTTTCTGAAATTATCTTCTAAGTTCTCACTGATCTTTTGATGATTGTCTGCAAATTCCGTTTGCTTTGTTTATACTGGGCACTGGTGGCACTGTATTTTAGGAGTGGCCTGGTCAGACTTATATGAGAGTAGAGGTGCAGAGCTTGTCCTGTAGCTGTATGAGACCATAGCTTCCACGGATAGGGATGCTTTCCTGGAACTGGTCAGTTATCCTTAAACTCCTCACTCTTGGACATCCTGAGAAGCAGATGTTGAGTAAGTGTGAAAAACTGCTAATGTGATTAGCAGATCCTGTTACTGATTTCATGCAGGTTGAAGGAAAGATGAAATGAGGACAGTGGCTGTCTATCACTTTGACGCTGCCTTGCCTTGCCAAATTTGCTGAGACCTGGTCACATATTATCTACCAAGACTATTCTTCGAGCTGCTATGCATGCGGAACATGCTAAAGAGCGTCCCTATCTTCTTCTGAGGGCATCATGAGCATTGTTGGCTCTTTTAATGAAATTTATTTCTATTTGCATATCTTTCTGTGTCTCATCAGAGAGCGGAAATTCAGAGAACTGGTAGAGATTTTAAATAAGACTGTACGGACATCCTCACTGAGTTTAATCAGATACCTCCTTATCCAGTCTCAGTATGTGATTGTGCATTTATGCTCTTTGGGTGTACGTATTTGTCCCATTTTCAAACTATGCTAGTGATTTTCACAGTATTTTGTGTATACAAATTTGCAAGTTGTATCAAATGGGTGACTAAAATCCTGACATAATTCTCTGTTTTAACTGAGTTAATACTGGATTTTAAAGAGTGAAGAGAAAAAAGAAGACAGATTTGTCTTGCATCGTTTTTGCCTTCTGCTTAAGGTCCAGCTCCAGTATGAGAATAGTTTGCACTCACAACCTGGCAGTCCAGTAGGTGCTGAGGACCAAATTTTGTGATATTCGTGCATACAGGTGAACACTTACTCTCAGAAGTAGTCATATTTAATTATATTGATATGAGTAAGCCATAGAATAACATTAGTGAGGTGTTGGAAAGCTCTACCATGCTAGTGAAGTGGTTGGTTAGTCTCTGTGGACTGGATACTAAATATATTAGGTATCTAGCAATGCACATAGGCCCTCCGTGGAGTTTTCATAATGCTCAAACAAGGCTGGATATTTAAGTTGGGAGCGTAAACTGCTAAAGTTCTTATGAGCTCAAACACCCTCTTTTCGTTTTCAGACATCTACATAACTTTGAAACCTACTTTACTGCCCCTCATACAGTGGACATGCAAACGCCTAGGTTACACGTTCAGACTGTCAGAGTGATCCCTTACCTGATTTTCCTGGTAGTTTTTTTCAAGAATTCATTATTTTTTGATTGTTTATGTCAAAGCAGATTTCTTCTAAAACAGAAGCAGCATCTCAGAGAAATATTGTGAATACCTGAAAGTGCCATTAATAGTTAAAGCTAATAACTTTGGTAGCTAAGTGTCTTTTACAGTAACTAGGTTATAGTCATTCTTTAAGGATATCTGAAAGCAGTCTGTGGAACTGGGAACTGGCTTATTTGGAAACAGCATAATCTTCCTACATATTCCTCTCATTGTAGTATCTAATACCTGAATAATTTGGATATCTTTTCTCTTTCGCAGAAGCTCAATAGTCCTGATCTATTTGCCTGAAGAAAAAGCTTTTTCTTCATAATGATACACAGTAGTTTCACCTGTATGCTAGTATGTGTGTAATGTGTGTTTAAAAACTTTTAATGCTATCAGCAATTCCTGCACTTACCTTTCCAAAGGTTTGTCTTGTCATATCTTATGAACTCTCCAAATATATATATATATTTTTTGTTTGGATTGGGCTGTGTTTTGTAACTAGTCCATGTGTTAGTGGACATTTCTTTCTGCAAAGAGTTCCATTGGTGAATTCAGCTGTACAGTTCTCATATAGGTTAATGAAGCCTGATTTTGCCAGTGTTTTGGGTTCTGTGTGGTTTAATGGAGCATTCGAGGAATGTTTGTGAACCAGTCCATACTCATGCTAGGAGGAATCAACAAACCCCTGCCTATTGTTTCCACTCAGGAAAACACCATTAACACAAATTAATAAAGATTAAATAACTGTATTAGTTATTTAGTGTATATTAGGTTCATTATTGTTTTCATGTGTAATTTTTTCTTATTTATTCCAGAACTGTTATATTTAACACATGATTATTTTACTATGCATGTCTATTGCTCCTATTCTGTTAAGTAGTTCTGTATGTTTATATGAGTGTGAATGAAGTCCTGTCAAACCCCTACTGACTTTTAGTGGGCCGATGATTCTTTGTCTAGGTAACTCTAATAAAATTATTTGATTGGAAAAAGACAAGATCACAAGTGCTTATTCTCTCATCAGTTGTTGCAGTGATTGTTTTGTAAACATCTTTAATCGCTTTAAAACATGTATTTGTTTCCATAGAGAAGTTATCTCTGTCTTCTACTGTCTTCTCTCTGTTCTACCCAATCCCCATTTAGTAATGCCTAAAATCAGTGTTCGTGTAATGTGATTTCTTTGCTAATTTTCTGAAACGCTGTTCTACCAAAAGACTAAATCACAAATAAATTTTGAGCCAGGTATGATACGCAGTAGTAAACTGCAATGCCCGATGCATTAGCAAATCACAGCTAGCAGAGCCCAAACCTTCTTTTTAAGTTTTAATGAGATGTCACTTAAAGCAATTACAGTGATAATTGCTGTTGCTGCCAGTATGGGGTCAGTGGGAGACCTTTGAAAATGATCTTTTTCTTTCCTTTTTTTTTTTTTTTGTTCTGGCAAATACAGTTCCTTTGAGTCGAGTTCAAGAGTTTAACAGCTGTGGCACCTGGCAGCCTAGTGGATTGGCTAGATTTCCCAAAGTAGGATTTCGTATTTTTGGGACCCACTTGTTTTCCAGTCTCATTTTCCAGATAGTTCATTCAGCATTTGGCTATCATAATAAAGCAGTGTTCCCATCTGTTGGTCATGGCTTGTTTAATGAGCAATTGCTGTTGATTCATCTATGCTTGCATCTGTCCTTTACTGCAGCTGTGTGTTGTTAAGGGCTCCCCGGTAGTCTCCAGATTTAGCTTTTATTTTTCTGGTGATAGCATGTTACAACTTGCCCAGAACCACTCTCTCCTCAGTCAGGGTTGTCCATTCATCTAAAGAGAGAAATGTATTCATCTAGGGTCATCTGTTTTTCCATAAAGAAAGAAACTTGCAGGTGTGCGAGAGAGTAAAGCACAGTTTCATTGCTATATAATGTATTAGGGTATTTTTTTGTTGAGGTGGAGGCTAATTCTTTCCAGTTTTGGATAGCAAGACCAGAATGGCTTGTTTCAACATCTTGGGAAGGTACGTAGACAGTGTGTGCATTAGGTAAAGAAAATAAATAGTTTGTGAATTGTGGGTTATAGAGAACACGCGTTTAACAGTAGATCCTTCATTTTATTCAAGATAACGGTATGGCTGCAGTAGCTTTCAGTATTTTAGTCAAGCAGTGTGTTTTGTAGTGCAGAGCACAGCCAGCTTTCAGAACGTAGTCAAGACATTTCCTGCACCTCACACAGGGAAGCTTCAGATTCCTGTCTCTCAGGTTGCATTTGCCCAAGAAGAATCAAAATGTTCCTTTTATGTGTCTAAATCCTGATGTTGTGCATACGTAAAAAATTTTTTAAAGTTATGATATTGATTTTCAAACCCACAGCTTCAGGGTTTTCAGTGGGAGCTATGGCTAAATGAGCTCATCTAACACTGATCGTCTCATATTCTCTGTACACTCAATGCATGGTGTTGCTTCCCCACCCTGTATATATCAATTTCAGATGCCTCCTTCAGTTTTTGATACGACACCACTGTGTATTTCATTTAACCATTTAAACCCCCCCACAAAAAAAACCTCTGAAGAAATATATAAAGCAAAATAAGAGTATGCGCTTTTGTTTCCTCGGTTCATCCTATTTTCTCTCTCCTATTTTATCCTTCCTTCTGCTTTTGGTCTTTTGCCATCAGTTCATTATGCTTGTCATCTTTTTGTGCCAGGCAGGTTGCTAGTGATAGGTGGTCTCATTTGGTATGATACAATGATTGATATGATGCCCACAAAGGTTGGCATGTGAGTAACAACGGATACAAACCTAGGAATGATAATAGTTTAAAAGCTGACAGACAGGCTAGAACTTGTGAGGGTGAAAGAAGAAAGCAAAACGGTGAAAATACTCTTTATGCAGGACGATTGCTCTCTTACTGTAGGCATGGAGTCATCTGTTCCGTGATAAATTTCAGGGTGTGAGTGTGTGGTTGAAGTATTATTTTTAAGCCCATGGTGGCTCCTATTTTCTCTCATTAAAGAGTGCCTGTTCTCCCCAGCACCTTCTTTCTCCGTTTTGTTATCCTGCTGCTCGTCAAGGTGTGGAACGCTGCTCTTGCCAAGCACTTCGGCTCCTAGCTCACCGCAGCACCCGTGTTGCTCTCGCAGTCTTGTCGTGGAAACCTCGCCAGAGTCTGGTCAGAGCAGCACCACCAGTCCGATCACAGGCAATGCGGGGCAGCAAGGAGTGGCAGGACAGCCTCAGCACTACTGCACAGAGCATTAAGGATGGATGATGAAGGAGCCTGTGAAGAACGGATCGGGCTGCAGATAGGGACTATTTCTAACACTTGCAACTGTGAAATTTTATTCCTTGAATCAAAAATAAACTGACTAATTAATGCAAAATTATTTATGATTTTGCAGTCTTATTTTGGAGGTATGGAAGAGTGTCAGAGATTCAGTTGTGCTGCTAAAAAATATCAATATTAGAAGAGAGAACAGAAATCCTTTGTATCCTTTGTAGTAGACCTGTTTGATTCATTAACCATGGGTCTTTTTCACAAATGCCTTTTTTCAAAATGCCTTTTTCACAGACTGAGTCTGTAAGGCATCTGGGAAGACCTACTGCTGGGAGCCTACCCAGCTTCCTGCTGGCGCTGTCTTTTATGAGTGTCTGACCTAAAGCTTTTGCACTGATGGGGGCTGTTCCGTGAGTACGTAGATGAGGTGCTTTGCCCTTGAGGACTATCCTCTTGATAACACAGACTTAGATCAAGGACTGAATTCTTCTGTGTGACTTTTAGTATAAAGCTAGTGCTACTCTGAAGGCAGTGGAATTACTTCAGTGTTACAGCGTTGCAAATGAAAGCCAGAATTGCATCTAGATACATTGAGGAGCATGCTATGGTCAGCTCCCAAATAATGGATAAGTGACCGAGCCCAGAAAACAAGAAAAAATCTCTTTCTAGCAAAGGTAACATACAGCGGGCACTTTCCAAGACATGACCTTTGAAATGACATCAATAGGCGTGATGTAGTAGTGTATTTTGTGCTGAAGATCCACACCTCATACAAGGCATGACTTCTGGATGTCGTGACACAATTGTGTGGTTGTCTAGGGCTTTCTGTTACAGTAAAGACTGATTCTTAATATTTTGGCATATCAAGGTGAATGGCTGTTAAAAGTTCTCACAAGCCTGATTTTAGATACCAAAGTGGACTGATAAGGCCATATGACTGCTGGGATAGTCTTCTGTTTTGATGAAGCAGTAGTGTCTGTGATCCTTTCTTTCCCCTTATTACCTCCTCTGCACTTTGTTTCTTCTCTTTTTAGATGTTTTTCTCAGCTGAAGAATGTTCTTAGATTGATTTACAATAGTGTTACATTGTAGTTACCTTTCTGAATGTATTACCAAATATTAAAGATTGCTAGATGATTTAACAAAGAGTGATGGACATATCTTCACCTTAGAAGAGGTCTGGCATTCCCAGCTCTTTTGGGCATCTGGAATGTAATGCTATTACTGCAGATGTGCAGTGACAGGGCATGCCATGCTTGCTGTCCCCATGCACTCTAGGAACATGACCAAGCCAGTGCTACAGCTGGCCAAGGCCATCTCTGCAGCTGAGTGTAGAGAGATTTCTGCAAGTCAAAGTAGGGAGGCTTTTACATAGATTTGTGGGGAAGTAGTCTCCATCAGCAGCAGAATGAGTGGGACAGAAATGCAGGGGACATTTCCTCTGCTCTAGAAAGGCTATTCTAAGCTGAGGTTGACTAGAGCCCAGGCATTTTACCATGTGGCTGCTGTTACAGTCTTTCTGTGTGTTTACGTCTGTTTAGAATAAAAGTGAGGAAGCACCTTCTTTGAGTGAGGGCTCTCTCTTTCATGCAGCAAGTTTCTTCAGAGCACGAAGTACTCCACTTGGTACAATGTAACTATGATAGTGTGATGAGAACCCTGACTTCTTGGCCCTGAAATCTGAAAGAAAGTGGGGAATGGCTAGAAGGGGCCCAGAACACTGTCAAACATTCAGCTCCCACTAAAGGTCTTTCCAGATTGCTAGTACCTTAGCCTTGTGAGGTAAATTCTCAGCATCAAAGTGATGAAGTGGGTGAAATACTCCATTTTGACCTTATAGGTGCAAGAAGGTCATGTTTGGTTTATGGCAAAGCTTGTAGAGACTTCTTGGGGCCGATGTGGAGAAAGTAACACCTGGACCTGCTTGTAGTGCTTATTACCAGTTCCCAAGGAGTTGCGCAGAGAAGATGGCACATTATTTTCAGATGAACTGGTGTCCCCTGGGACAGGAGAACCAAAATTACTGTACTTAACACCTTGCTTCTCTTGGGCCAAAATACTGGCTGAACTTCCATATACAAACCTGAAAATCTCAAGCCCCACTCCCTCTGTTCTTCACATTATTAACGCCCATTGTATGAAATGAGAATAGCCTGATGACATCATGTAGGAGAGAGTATATATGAGATCTAGTTGCCCTAGGCTCCTTTTGTAGTCAATGGAAGCAAACAGAGTCTTTGAGGATGTAATGTAGACATCTCCTCTCAGGTTCCTCCTTTAGGCACTTGTAATGTTGTTTAGAAAGCTAGTTCACGTGTACATTTGGCCAGGTAAATCCTATCCAATGTCTATGCAGGTATGTATTTCCCAGGAGAAAACTGAGCTATCAGTTTTGAGAACTATGTGAGGTTTTGACACTTGTTTCTGTCTCAGCGTGGAGCAAAAGCAAGATCTACAGCTACTTGTTAAATACAGGAGAATTATGGAGTTTGCATTGCCAGAGTGACCTTGCAGTCAGAATGCTTCAATGGGGTGTGGGAAACATGGTTAAAATTTCTGCCTAGATTCAGTAAAGACTCAAATCTGGAAAAAAATATGATTTTGAAATGGTCTATCCTGGAAGCTGCAGTTTGGATAGCTCATGTTACCTGCTCTTCTGCAGGTCAAGCTCCTTATTTATCCTGTGGTGCCCTGAATTTTCCTCTCAGAGATGGGAGGTGGCACATACATTTAGTCCCTGGCTATGGAACATCGCTGGAGATCTGTTCTACCTAGAGGAAAAAATGGATTTAAGATCATTGTACCACAACTTCCATGAAACATTATGGCAGGATAGCCAGGTAGAAATATTTCTATTTATTTTGGACATGAACACTTTCTCTGGAGTAAATGTCACTTCTTTTTTTTTTTTTTTTTTCTGCAGTAAATGCCACTATAAATGAACCAAAAAAACCCTATTAATTTGGAGAGAAAACATACTGCAAGTTTACTGAATGGAAAATCCACTTTTTCCCCAAGAGCTGTTTTCAATCACTTGGTCTTAGGAATTCTACAGCTCTTATTTTTAGCAGAATATGATGGGATTCAATTAGACTAATTCAGCATCAACTACTTTTGAGCATGTGATCATTTCACCTATGACTTTTGTGACTAACTGTATTTCAAACTAAATGTGCAATTGCAATGACATGAACAAAATGGAATGTGCCTGATTTTGCATGCACATACTGATCAAGTATGTGCAGATGGATTGTATGTCACCCCACAGTGACAAAGACTGGGATCGCCTTGAAAAATTGCCTAAGAAAACTTACCTTAGTATTCCACTGGATGCAATACTAATTTCTGAGATGCATAAACAGGAGTGTTAACCAAGCACATGATAAAAACTGGCAGTATAGGAAGTCTGAATGGGGAATTGTTCTACGTAAAAGGCTGATCATAAATCACTGTTGGTTCTTCAGACATATACTAGATTTAAAGATTGATTTATTATAGGGAGATGGAAGGTGATCGATGAGTTCCCTTTTTGCTTGTTATTAAGGATCCATTTCACTGTTCCTTTCTGGATGTGCAGTTTGACCTCAAGAATCACCTGTCATGGGATAACATTTATTAATTTTGTCTACAGGGGCCCACAAGGCTTTTTTCCTGCCTGAATTTGGTTAAATGTTTTGTTGCATTGTTTTGCATTAAACCTGGAAATTGTCAGAATGATTTATTCTTTTCATTTGAATGCTCCTGTTGGTTCCGTCTACACATCCCGAACTCTGTCCTGGCCTTCATACTGCACTGCAGATGTACAGGAGGTGACGTTTTCATAAGGCCTTTCTTTCCACTGATCCATTTTAAAGAGGCAAGTGTTGTTATGATGGTCTGTCAACATGATGAATTCTCCAATTAGACTTGCCAGATGGCTAGGTTTGACCAAGACAGACTAATTTCAGGTTCTGGGGTTAGACCGTGACCAGATCACTGAAAACCCAGGTTGCTGGTTCCTCACACTGCATGCTACAAAGTTGGCAGTGGTGGTGTTTGGGCTACCTGTCCAGCTTTGGGACTGTCCAAGTCTATGCTCAGACTTCTTCTTTGTAATTCTCTTCTGACTACTAAGATGGGACCTGCATATTTTCTTTCCTGCCCTTCTGTTTCTTTTTGATAAGGAAAGAAAACCCACAAAACCTGTCACATTCTCCCCTACTTGGATTTGTCATTCTGGATCAAACACTTGGTCCCTGAAGCTTGGGACTCTCTCTCTGGCATTCAGCATTACATGCATTCACTGGTGTTGCACAAGAAGGCAAAACATAAATACTTTATACTAGACTGCTGGACTGAACCACAGAAAGGCATAGGAAAGTTGCTGCCAGTTAATTGTCATATTGATAGTTTGGTCTTGAATCTCCAAAGGTCCAAGGGAAGCAAGGATAAAAGGGGAGATGAAGGTAAAGGCTTCTATTAGACTAGTTGATACAACTGGAAGAAGTAGAAAAGCTTTCAGGATTGAATTCTGTTCAGAAGTCATCAGTGACCTGCTACTCCGTCGTGAAACCGTGAAATCAGATCGGTGTCCTCTCTTCCATGTGAAAAGGCAGCTCCATGGAAACAGGCTATATGGAAAACTTTGACTCTGTCTGCACAGGTATTCAAAGGGTCTTTTCCTCCATGGCTGTTTCCTTTCTTAGCTAGTGACAACACTGCTGGCTTGACTGATACATTCTAATTAACTCCCTAAATAAAACTGAGCTCCGAAGGGCTCAGTCTTCTGATAAACCACACTGTATGTGGGGCCACCTGTAACAACGTGCTGTTGAAAAACTGAGAGTGTTAGTATCATACTCACAGTTTGCCCCAGCTATTAGCTGTTTCTCCTGAGAAGAAGGGGTGCTTGGCAGAAAAGAGTGCAGTAGCACTTTTGCTACTCTTCGAAACTGAAGAGTTGGCATTGCCAGTCCTGCCATACACTGGCTCTGGAGCAAGGCTGACAGCACTAACCAAGTGCTGTCCCTAATCAAGTCTTAACATGAAGTTGGCTTATGAGGCCTTGCTGCTT